TCTCTGCTAAAAGCAGAAAAGACTACCATTCCGACTATATCACGAGCACGTGTTTATGAATCACTATCAAATAGTGATGATACAGGTATTCGCCAAAATATCCCGCCCCACCAGGGACACCCGTCATAAACACATGCAAAGGCAAGTCAATTATTCACCTGAAAACAACATATGGTACATGTCAAAATAGGGATTTGCATCGGACATCATATTTATTACCGATGCGTCAAATTTGAAAATGTCCTCGACATGTCTACCATAAAACCTTTTGAAAGCTTTACTGAGGTTTTGAATGTTGTAACCTTAACAACTTTTGAGCACGAGTCGTATGGCGCTCTTTGAAATCTTCGCGGAAAGAGCATTATCGATTGTACCTCAATAGTTGTGAAATGTAGACATCAAAGGCTAAAGCTGCTGGAACATAGCTCAACATGAAGGAGACTGTGAAAGATTTTGTCACTCTGAATCTTGATGCATGTATCTAAATATGAAACAGACGGGGTGGTCTCACTGGTCTCCTTTATTTCAAGTTCAGGTGGATAAATCAGCGGAAGAGAATTGTCTGTGATGGTTATTGCACGATATCAGATTATCGATATACCTGAAACGTAAGTTAAACTTCGTTGCCGAATTGCCTTGTTTTGACTTTGCCAATCCCAGCAGAAATATCGATTCATATGCACAGAGAAACGGATCAGCAAGAAAGAGAGCATGATTGTTCCCAATGAGGATGCAAGGTCTTGCCTAAATGACTTACCCACGACTTTACATGGATGTTATCAATGAGGAAGGCAACATTTTACAGGTTGTTTTCTCAGTAAACTCCAGACGAAATTTGCCCCGAACCTCTGCATATAGACATGTAACTATTTCTATGATCACCACGTGCAGTAACAAATTCCCCATGAATCAAGGAATGAACTTTCCCCTTAAGTTTGTTGTGTGGGATAGCGGTGTACAAAGTTGTAAAATCAAATGTTTTGACAGAATTGACAATGGTTCTTATCTGTGTATGCAAAAATTCAAACAAATCCTTTGAGTTTTTTGAGAATGCAGGTTGTATTAATCCAACTTGTCTCAAATACTTTCTGTGAATATATACAAAGTCGTCCTTGACAGGATTAAGGATTTTGGTAAATCCTTGCGACGGGGATTTGGTGGAACATTTGCTGGACCCAGCAATATATCTCTCTTTGTACGGACATTTATGGAGCTTTGGAATTTAGTAAGACGAGGAATGGGTCTTCAGGTTTATGAGTCAACAACATACATGTGAGGTGAGGTGAAATTGGGTTTAACGTCGCGTCCAAGATTATTGCACTTGTATAGCGACGTGCGTGCACGTGTATTTGTGTGTGTGGCTGCTTGTACTAGTCCGGACTAACCCTAACCCGATTTATAGTGCTAGCTCACTGAGATACCATGCCGCAGTTTAACATGAATACCCCACTCAGACACAGTATACTGACTCCGAGCCGACCAGTCCTTGTTTTAGCCCCTTAATGCCGAGTGCCAGACAGGGTAACAACAAGTACAATCTTTTAACGTCTTTTTGTATGACGCGGCCCGGGATCGAACCCTGGACCTTCCGCTCTCCGGGCGGACGCTCTACCACTAGACCACGGAGGCGGTTACAACATACATGTATTCCAGACCGTTTCAATCATCTGGTGTCTTCAATGCGCCGCACCTGGCTCACCTGTATCAACGCAACTGTTGGTCACATGCGACATTGGCATAGTTTATATAGTTGTCACACCACCCCTCTGATAGGGCGTGTCTCTCTGTCTCCTGTTACCAGGTATAGGTTTTGTCAATGAATTTGTTATAATAAAACACTGATCAGACGAATGACCAAATATTATGTTGCTATTTTCAGTATCATAACATTTTCAGCACTATGAAACACAATTTTTTTGCGGTAATATATGCATAAAGTGCAAGTCGTCAAATCCCTTTAACGCCGATTGTCAATTAGTTTACTGATCAATCGAAAACGTTGTTCATGGAGAGGATTTTACGCCTTGAAGCTGGCTACTAAGGTGGCAAAGCTTACCTTTACCCGGCTATATATTGTTTCTAGGCGAGTACGTGCTGAACCAGCTGGTTCGTCTTAAAGCTACACTAACCAATAATTGGATATGTAACAATAATTTTTTACTTATATATTTCAAGTTCTCTGAACATTTGGTGATATCCCTTTAATGCCCAGGACTGTTCGAACAATCAGAGATGTGTTTGTTTGTTTGTTTGTTTGTTGTTTAACGCCGCACTCAGCAATATTCCAGCTATATGTCAACGGTCTGTAAATAATCGAGTCTGAACCAGACAATCCAGTGATTGACATCATGAGCGTCGATCCACACAATTTGCGATACGATGTCATGCATCAACCAAGTCAGCGAGCCTGACCACCCGATCCCATTAGTCGCCTTTTACGACAAGCATAGTCGCCTTTTACGGCAAGCATGGGTTGCTGAAGACCTATTCTACCCCGGATCTTCACGGGTCCCAGAGATGTGAAATACATGTATATGACCGTGAAACTGTTACTGATCAAGTTGACGCTTTTCATGTAATGTTGCGACGTGAAACCAAGTCCTTTTTGCGATGTCTGTTATAAATCGTATTTCTTCAACCAATTCATTAGATCAATACAAATAGAAGAATTCAAATGAATAAGTGTCTTTTGATATCACATACTAGTATATCAACACGAGTCGATAAATGTTTAAAACACTGAGGCTTGTCAGCATAGTTGACACCATAAGATGTTGGGAACCTATCGTTCTTAGCTTCAGTCTGAGGCTTAATGTAAAGAAGACATATTTGTACTAAACACACTACCGAAATATAGTAGTCGCTCGATCTGCAAATATCAGGTTTAGCACTAGTTGTAGTTCTTAACTCAAGTTTTTCGTACTATCGTGTGCCCCAACGGCTTGGATCTCTGACCGTGATGTCATCTTTTGACTGCTTGGCTCCGACACCATTGTTTACAGGCCCCCTACGAGGGAAAGCAAACATTCACCTCCTCACTTTACGGCGATGACGTTTTCTTCATTCAATGATAACTTTCATAAGTTCGTTATGCGGTCGCAAGGTACCGATCTGATTCAAAATATGCGACTGTGCGTATCAAGATGGTTACGATATTTTAATAAACATCTTATTACCAAATTGTTCTTGGATTTGTTCTACATATATGGTTGGAAGGAGAGTTGTATACTATATGCTTGCGTATTATCTTTGAAGACTAATCAGTGAAAATAAACTGAAACGTTACTCATTCACAAGATCGTGAAGTGGAAAGCTGTGCCTGTGGAAAATAGTTGTAGGACATTTGAGAAGTCAAAACAGATCCTGGTTAATGGATTTGTACTGGAACCTGGCCGTGGACGAGACATAAAAGCTCCTCGGCAGTGATTGAGTATGGATTGACGTCGCTTTGAGTAACATTTCAGCAATATCACAGCGGGTAACACCAGGGCTTCACGCGCTACCCATGTAGGAATCGAACCCAGGCCTTCGCCGCGGCGAGCGAACGCTTCAACCATTAGGCTTACAAACAGCCTTCTCAGCGGTGAGCTGGTTCACACCAACGGCGTTGAGAAACCTACCTGCGGCCGTGAAGCCTCCATCAGTCAACATGAACAACATACATAAAGAGCCCGCCAAGTAAGTTATCTAAGACTAAACGTATTATCTCCTGCCAACGGCGTGAGTTTGTAATAACATCGTTAATGGCTCGCTTGGTGTAGTTCGTATTTCTCCTCAAACCTGCAGCATATCTATTGCAAATGGGCATACCGTTACTTAGAAGCGATTCTTATCACTAAACTCAAATCAGGTAATTCCCACAACATACACGTACAAAGTAGACACAATGCATGGATAACAACTGTAAAGGCGACGTTTCGGTATAGATCCGTATACCTCTGTCGACCAGAGACCGTCGGTATATGGTCTCTGGTCAGGCCAACTTGACAATGGTATGAGAATCGTTTCCGAAACGTCGCCTTTACAGTAAATAAAGTTGTTATCCATAAATTCTGTCTACCTTGTCATCCGTCAACTTCTGAGTGATGCCTATCAAACAATTAAACGTACACGTGTTATGCTTCAATGGTTAAAACACTTCCCCACTAAAATTGCAATACAATAAAAAGTTCATGCACACCAGTCACATCACAACATGTCAGCTTGATGGGAGGAGAGCCCGAGGTGATGCATGTCTGAGAGGTTTACAACTTTGGTAAAACCCACGAGCACGTGTTGGTGCTGACAAAAACCTAATCGGGAATAGAACCCGCCATCGTGTTTCTTGCAGGTCAATAGGAGGCAATTCTACACAGCGCACAGATGAATGGGCCACCCGTGACCCCTTTCGGATTCTTCATTAAATAAAGTTAAACTATATTGAGAACTATCAGGGACAAATAGAGAATGAAAATATGTTTCTGTATTATCTTATATAGCCTAACATCAAGCTACACTTAACGCACATCTGATGGTATCTCACCCGAGTCTTTTGATATAAAATATGTCAACACGAGACACCAAAACTTAAAAAAAATCCAAGACTTGCCGAGTTTTAAACTTTCATTGTAGAGTGCTGATATATTCGATATCAAATATCATAGGGTGAGATTCTATTTATCATCTAATATCATTCTTCCAACTTTTTCAGTTTGTAAATAGTTGTTTGTTGTTTAACGCCACACTCAGCAATATTCAAACAACATCACTACGGTCTGGAAAGTATCCAATCTGGACCAGACAATCCAGTGTTTGACATGCACATCGATCCACACAATTGTGATACGATGACATGCATCAACCAAGTCAGCGAGCCTTACCACCCGATCTGTTAATTATCTCTTACGACAGGCACAGTCGCCTCTTACAAGCATGGGTTGCTGAAGATCTATTCTAACCAGGATCATCCCCTATTTGTAAACAGTACATCTGCCTTCACACTAATAACAGACAAAGCTAAATCTATATATTTATGTTTATTTATTTCGTTTCTTACAAGTATTTACCTCACACTTTCAAAATCAACAACTGAATGCACGCCCTCACGATCCACGGTGGGCGGTTATAAAACCATTCCTTGATCGATTACCACGTCAGTGTTCTATGCTTTTGTCCTGCTGTCATACGAGCTTCACTAACATAATCCAACATCATCCATGCTCATGCCATAAGACTGTTGTGAAATTGTGGAGATACTAGGCTCAACACAGAGCCACATACAATACAAACATCCCTGGTGATGAGAACACTAGGATCAGGAGCATCTTCATCACACACTATCAACGCATAGCTGATCATGTGGAGATACCTGACTAATGAAGAATGAATGGACAATGAAATACTGAATGATAGTCAAACCTTTGGTCATGCTAAGTGTGTGAATGCGTGGGATACAACTGAATACATTTCTATCTACACAAGAGTCCTTCCAACCCTTTGTTTTATATTGCACATTTTTATAGGGGTTTTCACCCAATTAAACCATTCCTACTGAAAAGATTTCATGGATGGACAGTGTGTACTCGTTACTGTAAATCATGCAATGTTATAAATACAAATCAGCACATTTCATACCAAACAGTCCAACATAGTTGCTTCTGCTAAATGAAAGGTGGTAAATAGTAAGAAATAAAACAACAATCATAACAAATTTGTTTCTTCAAATAAATAGTCAAGATAAAATGGCATCTAAAAGGGTGCATGATAATGCCTCTTTGTAACATTCTAGGAACTATAAATGGCTGACATGCATAAGCCTTTCAACTCAATTAAAACAAAATAAAATAATTACTTCTGCTTTACTGCTGTTAAAATTTCAAAGAAATAATTGGTAACATTTCAGTCTCATTTAGAGTTCCATTCTACACAAGAAAACAAGGGAATGACACAAAGGGAATTGGACATTTAAATTAAACATACATCTTCCTCAGCGCATACACTTCTGTAATGGTAGCATTGTTTCATCACAGTTACAAGAACCTGCTGACAGTCCAGTGTCGAAACAGGTATAACACACACACAAGTGTTCACTTTGATTCAATATCTCATAAGATCTTAGGAAAAGTTCACAGGTAAGTTAATGCCCTAAAATTCAAGTCCAGGGCCCCATTCCACTAAGTGATCGTGGCGCCAAGGCGATCGTAACTCCCATACTTAAACACAGGCTTAAGACGGCCATAACACTACAATTGCTTTGTGGAACGGGCCCCTTGATCCCTAACATAAGCCCTAATGCCAGAAGATCCTCTTATAATTGTAATGGAACACTTTTAAATCTACAGTTTGGCCATACCTAGGATAATGTGACAACAGAAAATTTTGACTTGTGAAAAAGGTTCTGGTATCTCCCAGTAAAATGATGATGTTGGTGAGAATTGTTCTGAACACAGAGCCCCACGTTCAAGTAGGTATGGCAGTTACTGCTACAGACATGGAGAGGAGGAATGGATTGGTTATCTCCCTTTATCGGATCCTCGTGAAAAGGTTCAGGACAGACTTGGATTCCTGAAGAAGAAAATGATATATTTATTATTTCTATCAAACAAAGAGATCCAACATAGGTTAAAAAATGTAAGACAATCATACAGATGGTCATAGGTAGCCGAGAATCTTTATAAACATCATGATTTCCAGATGTTTAATACGACATTACACTTAATGAAAATCTGATGCAAAATGCTTCACTTCCTGAAACATGAATCAGCCTTATCCGGCATTTTCTGGTAATTGTGACTAGCGAAGAAAGATCAAATTGCAATAGTCAAGAGATCAATTATGATCACAAACTGCTGAAAGATGAGATCAATATTTTGTATCAAACACCGCGGGGAGTCAACCTCAAAATGTTATACATGTTTTAGTTTCACTGACATTTTCCTATTATTAAAGGGATGTCCTGAAACCTTATGGTGTTCAAATGTGGAAAACAGAACAGCGGCTTACCTTTGTTGATCTAGTTTTGCTAAAGACATTCCAGAAGCGAAGTGTCTCATCCCCTGCCCCGGTGACAATAGCTTCCCCATCTGGAGACATAGCCTGTAACAAAGTTAGATACATGTACATGTCAATACATCTTTCAATGGACTTACTAGCCACAGACATTTAAACTGGCACAATGACACAAGCCCTGAGTTTTCTTTTTTCCTAATTACGATCAGAATTGTCAAGAATGCTAGCATGATAGGAGGGAAGAATGTTTTTCTGTTTGGTAAATCTATTGTCATGGTTACTGTCTTTTCTTTTCAGACTGTATTTGATTTCAACTTTTCATTTTTGGGTTCTAAACATCAATTTCAAAATGTCTCGCCTTAGGTGAGGTGAGGTGAAATTGGGTTTAACGTCGCGTCCAAGATTATTGCACTTATATAGCGACAGTATACTGACTCTGAGCCGACCAGTCCTTGTTTTAGCCCCTTAATGCCGAGCGCCAGACAGGGTAACAACAAGTACAATCTTTTAACGTCTTTTTGTATGACGCGGCCCGGGATCGAACCCTGGACCTTCCGCTCTCCGGGCGGACGCTCTACCACAAGACCACGGAGGCGGTCTCTCGCCTTAGGCTCAACATAAGCACATAAGGCACATCCAAAGCCCTAAAAACCTGATGGTCACAAAGACTTCCAACAAAAATATCTTCTACATCAAACATCAACGGACAAAGTAGGAGTCATGACGACAGCTGCTGAGTTTAATGATACATAATATAACAAGTTCAAGGACACTCTCCTTGCAGAGCAATGGAGTTCTAATATGTAAGTCAGGAACCCTTAACGCTTGTATCCCTAAGCATTGTTAAGCAACTGTACTTTGAGTATAAGAGCAATTTAAATGTTAGATTGTTAATATATCTGTTTGTTGTTTAAAGCAGGACTCAGCAATATTCCAGCTACATGACAGTGGTCTGTAAATAATCGAGTCTGGCCCAGACAATCCAGTCATCAACATCATGAGCATTGATCCAACAATTGGGATACGATGACATGCATCAACCAGGCTGACCACCCAATCCCATTAGTCGCCTCTTACGACAAGCAGTCGTCTTTTAAGGCAAGCATGGGTGAGATTGTTAATATGCAGGAATTTGCCTCCAGGGAAAACACTGCATGTTAAGCTTGAAGGTAAGAACAAGACACTGCTCAGCATTCAAATGTGTCAATATCATACTCAACACAGTTGTGCCTCTGTAAGTTAAGAACATTAATCCATCATTGTGAATACAATCAAAGAGGCTGTACATGGCATAAGCAGAACACTTACCAGATATAGAACCCTGTAAGAATGTCCCGTCAGCTTGGCAATCTGCACAAGTGATGGATATTTCCAGACTAGGATTTGGTTTTGTGAGTACCCATGAGTGCTGACCTGAAAATGAATGATCACAAGCTATAGAAACTGTAGGTAGAATATAACACATGTAACCAGGGATTTATCTAGACCTCAGAGGCCAATATTCAGGCTCCAAGTATGCAGAAAATGTCTATAAAATTCCCAAATTGGAATTACTAATTTGCCAGCTCATGTTACATATACTTAGTTATAACTAATATTATGGCTTTGTAGTGGTGACTTTAATTTCACTGACGAATCCAAATTGCCAGTCAAAGGCACTTAGTTTGGAATCCTGAATAATATGTATTAACTCTTAAAACATTCTTCATGATCATGATACGGTGTTTCATGTCTTTGAAAACATGAATAAACCTCCACTGTAATTTTACCATAACCATAATCAATGTTACAGTTATGAAAAACAACCTATTTCAAGAATATGCTTCCAGTTACCGCAGTAACAAATTGCAGAGTCTGTTCAGAGTTATTCCCCTTCTTTCAAGATGATGTCCAACTTACCAATTCATTGGAGTGTTTTGACCATGCCAGATTACAGACTTGTGACCCTGTGTCTACACACTGCAGAGGTTGACCAGTGAGAGTGTTCCAGAACCTAATACATCGGTCAGCTGTTCCACCACCGCTGGCCAGCAGACCATGTTGATGAGGGGACCATGCTATGGCCTTAACTGCTGCTAAATGTTCAGTGTATGTTTGCACTGGGTTCACACTTGTCATGTTCCACACAAACAGTTTATTATCATTGCCACCTGATGCTAAGTGCTGGTGATCTGGGGACCACTTCAAACCACAAACCTGAAAAAAATGAAAAACAGCTTACAATCCTCATCATAATAAATACAAAAATATTTGTGAAGGAAATAAATCTACACCTGATTGCTTTCTTCACAAAAAAACCCCACAAAGATGTGACAACTTATTTTACAATGAATACTGATATGCATGAAATTTCAATCGGAGGAGGTCAATGTGATTTCATTAGCATGGGTGGGGGTGGCATCACAAACCAAACTGACCCCTTCCCTCCATCTAAATATGGGCTAGATGCCTGGTCCCTACCTCCTGCCTGTGTCCACCAAGCCGACGTTCAGGGGCAACACTAGGTGTTCGTATATCCCGCTGTAGGATGAGACGATCTCGACTGCCGGAGGAGAGAATGTCACCATTCCACGCTAGGGCTCCTGTAACAAAAAATAAACAATTTCACAACATGACTCATAAACTTTTTTCTGGCATTAGACGTGCCATTGATTGAAGTATTCATACACATTATTTTATGACAATTCATCTACTTACCAACTCTAGCACTGTGTCCTTCTAGAGAGTTGATTTTCTTGTTGACGGACACATCCCAGATCTGTACATAACCCTTGTGTGTACCCACAGCAACTAGATTACCCTGCAGAACATTCAATAACAATGTTTACCTCATCATATTGAAAGTCAGTTAACAGGTTAAAGAAAATAGTAACAATGTAGCATGTGCAACACAAATAGATTGCCAAATCATCCAAGTCTCTTTCCAGTTCTCTGATTACTCTATGTTTGCTTTTACTGGAAACACCAATATTTCTACCTCAATCTTGAACAAGAATACTCCTGGCAATAGTGGTCAGATTATCTGACCATATTGTTTCACATTTAGGCAGGACAGTAACACCAAGCTTAACGTCAGTTCAGGTAGGTAATGAGGTACACAAAAGCATTTACCAAGTATCCAAAGAGGTATCCTGATAGTGTTGGTAATTCTAAGAATATATTAAGATAACAGTTGAGACTGACATAGGTATCCTGCAGGGTGTTATGATACATTAACCATATGGTACTACATGTATCAAAATGTGAAAGGACAGAAAACAGAAATTGGCCATATTAGTGAGTGAGTGAGTGAGTATGGTTTTACGCCGCTTTTAGCAATATTCCAGCAATATCACGGCGGGGGGACACCAGAAATGGGCTTCACACATTGTACCCATGTCGGGAATCTAACCCCCGTCTTCGGCGTGACGAGCGAACGCTTTAACGACTAGGCTACCCGACCGCCCCTGGCCATATTAAACAACCCATAGGTGAGGTGATATAGATTTTAATGCTGTGTCCATGATTATTGCACTAAATCATGTATATAGCGATGTCTGTGTGCATGTGTTACAAACATAGATACTCCATTCAGACAGAGTATACAGATTCCAAGCCGACCTTGTCTTATCCCCTTAATGCCGAATGCCAGGTAGGGTAAAAGTAATGTGTTCTGGTATAATGTGGTTGGGTTGGTTGGTGTGTTGTTTAACGCCGCACTCAGCAATATTCCAGCTATATGGCAGCCGTCTGTAAATAATCGAGTCTGGACCAGGCAATCCAGTGATTAATATCATGAGCATCGATCCATGCAATTAGGATTGATGACATCCATCAATCAAGTCAGCGAGCCTGACCACCCTATCCTGTTAGTCGCTTCTTACGTCAAGCATAGTCGCCTTTTACGGCAAGCAAGGGTTGCTGAAGACCTATTCTACCCCGGATCTTCATGTGTCTGATGTGGTTGGGGACTGAAAAGCCAACGTTCCGGGCAGACTCTCTATCCACTTAACCATGGAGGCGGTCATGTCATACACTTAGTATACTTACCATTTCAGATAAAAATGCCAAAGGCAAAATAATTTCATTTAAACATTCTTCAAGTCTACCATAAATGTCACAATTTATTACTTAATTCAAATGTGATCTTCATGATCTTTCCGTAGATTGGTGAAGAACCCCTCTTGTGCTCACTGAAACTCATCATATGCACTCTCACTGAAGAGATACGATTCTAACGGACTACATGCCAATGTTTTTTATAATGCCTCAAAGTGAGATTGACTAATCAGAGAGCAGTACTACTAACCCCATATGAGCCGGTATATGTCAGTAGAAATCCAAGATGGTTGTTACTGACCTAATATGAGACCTATACCATCAGTAACAGCATCTTGGATTTTCCAACAGCCACCTCATTTATTTCACACGAAAATTCTGGTATAGAAACTTGTCAGTTGAGACTGTTTTCTGTTTTTATATCATTAATTGTGATGTGCAAGGACACTCACTTTTTTATTGTTAAAAAATCATGTTCGTGGCTTTAGTTCAATAAGGTTTGGCTACTAAGGTTTGAAGAGTAGTCTCCCTTTGACCTTAAAGGTCAACGGTTGTAAGTGTCAAGTTTTCATTTTAACATTACATGTGTGATAAAGATGCCATATAGTGAAAAGATTTTATAACCTAATAAGACACTGTATATGGCAACTAAAGACACCAACACTCATAATATTGATGGCCTAAGTATGACATCGGTTCTTCAATACAAGTATCTTCTCATGTGCTATGACTTACACTGACTCTTTCAGACCAGGACACGGAGGTGACAGTGTCGTTATCTTGAGACAGATCACACAATCTGGTCACCTGAGAAGCAAAATTCTGAACATTAGTTTCAACTTGTAACCCTACATCAATGTTCAAACAATCTGGATTCCTTTGAACTAAAACAATACTCATAACACATATGCATGAGACTAGATACACATAATAGGAGGACACTTTCAGTCTGGTCAATGGATTCTGCAATCCCAAACCATTCCAAAGTTTGAAACCAAATGGTACATACCTGCTTGTACATTACTGGATGATCCGATGAACTCTGGATTTTAACAAAAACACTGGGAGATATATTTAACGGGCAATAATTGTGTTGGTAGTCTTGTTAGTGGTGTTGATTTGGAATTGTTAGGTGTTATTCTAACATTAAACGGGATGAATACAATGATCATCAAAATGACTACATTAACACAGCATGAACTCGATGAAACCACAAAGATTCTAAATATCTTAAGATTCATAATTACACAATGCAAAATTAGGAATGGGGATATTTGAAAACGGTTCACCCAAAGTCAATAATACAAGGCTAGGTATGTACCTTTAAGTTCTTCACACTCATCACTGACTGATTCTATCTTGATAATGACTGACCTAATCACTTGTACACGACAGTGAAGTCTGCTGCCTACACCCAACCTTTAGCCCACTAAAATCATCTCCAAATTATGTTACAGGCTTATTTTGGGCATGTTGGAAAGCACAACTGAACCTAGTTTCTGTAATGAAGGAGTAGAACATGGAATGTAAGACATTAAAATTCATCACAAAGTATGTGCCAGAAGGGTGTAATACTAATAGATATTTTGCAGGTCTAGCAGTGAGAAACGTGCAGGCTGTAGTGAGGCAGACTCCATTGTTGTTCAAAGCTACATCTATATGTTAGACAAACCTGACTGGTACATGCACTCCAGAGATACACTGACGTCCCCAGCCCAACACTGAGGACGTTCTGAGATGACCAATCAACTAGGTTCAAGTAGAAGTCGTCCTGAAGCTCGGGGGCATCTAGCACTTTGAAGGGAATTTTGGATATCTTCCGTACAGCCTGTAAAAAATTGGAATGTTTTGGTTCAAGACTCTGAACAAGCAAATCAGAAGACATGATGTACCCTGTAAACAGTACTGAATTGGAGAGTGAATGGAATTTTTCTTGTCCACAATTACGCAGAAAATTCAAAGCATTGGATACCACTAATACCTTCAGAGTATATCAATATAGTCAAGAACCTGCCTAGATGCAAATGTTTGCACAGACTGATGTCATTATTTTAAACCATGGAAAAAACTTGTCACTTTTCACCATCAAACAGACATACCTTGCGAGGAGAACGAAGAAGCTTTTGACTTTTACTTCCAACAGGTGAGAGAGAGTAAGGTGAAGAGTCACACGAGTCTCCACCTCGTCGTGGAACATGGTACTGTAAACAATCAACACCTACATGTAATCATCACAAAGACACTTGGAGAGATACTGTGTACTATACGGTAAACAGCCACTTGCAATACAGGAATTAACTTTCGAATGTCTTGTAGCTAGTAAATTTAATCTCACTGTAACAGGACATGCATGCTTACAGCAAGCAAGTTCCAAGTTTTTGGCAGGATAAAAACTATATATCATCTTCTTAAATGCTATCACAGGAATTGGATAGGAAACTTACTTATTTCTTTGAAATGAACACATACAATAGCAATCTTACCCGAAAGAGATTTTTGCTTTCTTTTGGAGCTAATATTCTTCTCTCATCAGTTTGTTGATCCTAAATAAAATTATAAAAGAAAAGAAATGAAAACTAGCTGCAATATATATCACAATTATGGCCAGTCATATACATACTAAAATGTGTTCTTGTAAATGGTTAAGTGTAGCAGTTAGAACAAGTAGAAAGTAACAAAATGTAAACAAAAACCTGCTTTAGTAAACAAGAGAATGGTTTCTCTATTTATCATTAACAAATGACATCATAAACACATCTGTTAAACAAGAAAGGTAAATAAATTGTGCAATTGGGAAAATTAGAAACTAACCTTCAAGTCATCAATGCCTGCAGAGAGAAGTTCATTCTTTAACAGACATGAATATGCTAGACCATCTTTACTTGTTTCTGTACTTGTTTCTTTTCCTTTTCTTGTTTGGCTAGGGGACTGAACTGTGTTTTCCTGAAATGGTTTATGAATGATTGTTGTCATGATCAATGTATGAAATTCCAGGTGATTAAGCATGAGATCTTCCAAAGGTATCACCAAGTGTACTGGTAGTCAAATGACAACAAGAATATCACAAAGACTCTTGGGATGATACACCACTGGGATTGAAATCTTAAATATTCACCGGCAGAACATTGAAGTTGATGTGCCAGCTTGCACCAGCACGACTTGGGATGAAGCGGTCTCCATACTTCTCTTTGGAAGGGGATGCTACTGGGCTTGTGCTAACAGGCTGAAAAGTAAAAACAAAAAATAGATTGTGAGCATGGTGCTACATGGCCAATGGCAGTAGAGATTGTTGTAAGTTTATTGATAGTAATTGTCAGGGGCAACAAATGACTGAAATGCTCGTAAAATGCTGACAGGAAGTGTGATTAGAGTTACCACCTCTAGACGTTGAAAACAAACAGTACGCTTGAGAGTTCGAGGTTATCTACAGAAGAATATCATATTCCTGCCAACTTCCAAATGTTGATAATTCCTTGATCATGTTGATCCTGTGTGTTTCCTGTTTTACAATTTAGTTCTGTGTGAACCAATTTCTAGGTTAACCTCTGCATTCCAATTAGGAAATCACCTCCTAACAATGGTCATGACGGTGAGCAAATTAGAAATTTAGAATTTGACAATTCTGTGGACAATGGTGACAATTTTGCTAGACATGAAAATAGCTCAGGTAGGTGTTTACAGTCGGCTATCATTATCACGATCATATCCTAAACATCTAAAACATTTCTGTTAATATGGTTACCACTAACAGATGAAATATTAACTTACTGATGAGAATGGCGATAACTGTCCATTTTGTTGTCTCAGAAGTCTCTTCTCATAATCAGGATCCATTTTTCACTGGAGATTCTCTTGTTTGGATAACTTTTAATGGCCAAGTAAATGGCGGGGCTGTCACTTTATGTTCTTGTCACCATTTGATGTTTGGTCTGTAGAAAATAAAGAGACATCACAGCATGTATAATGCCATGTTACATTTGTATATTAATGGGGCTGGGACAATACACCAACTATGTGATCCAATATGCATCACAATACCTTGCTCACGATCCGATGCATATCACACATTTCATGTGCTCGTATCTGTGGTGCATAAGACATCTTTTTCATAGACAGGATGGCCAAATATCTCGCACACTGACGATTTACAGTTGGCAGTGTCAAATATTGTGCAATGGATGAAAATATTTATGTTTTCACTACTAATTAGCAGTGATTAGTGTTTGGTGTAAAAGTTAATAAAGCTCCAACGATGCATCAGTGATCGTCCCACGACAATGTAATAAATAATAAAAATAAAACATAACAAATGCACGCCCATTCAATACTATTGCTAATGTTGATATTTCGTGGCTGAACATCTTAAATACTTAATCTAATATTGCATGATGCTAGATCATTAGCATGTTAGAAACATAAAACCAATTGAGCAGACAGTATCAGGGCATACATAGAGTTTTGGTGAGCGCTAAGTTTAATCCTAACTTGCTTGGGTTGTACATGCAACAAAAAATTGGTACAAAGACTGCAGTCCATGTTCAATTGTTTCTTCTTGATATAGCCATGATAGTCAAAGTAAAACTGTTGGGATTGTTGTCGGCACAGGTTCTACAGGAATGTACCTCAAGTAACTGAGATCATATCCCGCTAGTGACCAGGTTGTTATTCAGCCTATGGACCAACCATGTTTACAGGTCTTTATTGCAGTGTCACTATCCCCATTGCACAGTACTTTCACCCTGTGCAGTCAAAAAAAAACCACTCAATCGTTGGTAGATGACCAGATTGGCAGAAACATGCAGTTTTGGAAATAATTTTAAAACCCAACAAGACAGGTGCCTCACACTGGCAGTGTGGGTTCAAATCTCGGACGGGACTCAACCCTAAAAAGTATGAGAATCTGTACTTTACTCAGTAAGTGTTATCCCAAATATAACATTTGTTACGTTTGACCACTTTCTAAATGACATTGGTGTTCGTCCCAACAAGACAGTCGGGCAGGTGACTCATAAGCATTGGCTGCCCATCTTCAAAGTTACCTGCCCACATTCAGACATTAAAAATATTGACAAATCACAGAAAAATAAGAGACAAATCTTGTCTTGATTCAGTTGAAATAATGCAAACAATTGCGTGAGAATCTACAAGGAGTTATGTTATAATAAAACCGAAAGTGAAAACGTAAGTAGTTTTAAAATTATCTGCCAGACAGTAGGGCAGGTGGTGAAAAATTTCAAACAGCACAACAGAAAAGTTACCAGCCATGAGCAGGCAGTTATTTTGGACCCTGGAAACATGAATATGTTGTCAAAACATATGGTGTCACCCAGGGCAAGTCTCTTGATTCAAATGTGCCCCTGTTCACCCAGCAGGGAATGGCTACCATATATGTGACGTGGATGTAAAAATACTTATACGCTGTATGATATGGATCCACTGGTCAGGGGACAAATAAACTTTGTTTGAGCAGAGATGTCTAAATAAGTGCAGTACATAAATGTATCATATGATAACACCATCACGAAAATCAGAGTACAGAAACGCACACAAATGTGGCAATATCAACCATGTTAACAGATCTGAAGTCAGGACTGCAGTGGATAAAGGTAAACTACATATGTGTACTTGCCACACATTACACGGTTTCATGCATCGTGAAAATACATATACTGCCACATTACCCATTATTGTATTCATAAAAGTACCAGAGGTACTAGTACCTAGGACTACATTGTATGTGAAACTTAACAGATGACATATGTAACACAAATTTCTGCACCATATGTTGCAAGAATGTAACAATAGGACTCCAGAGATATTCATATATTGGCTTCACAAGACAAAAACAAACCAATGCCCTCAAATATGACTGTTATTACTAGATCAACTTAAAAATGGTTGCAGCAATTTTGAAAACCGATGCAAGATTTGTAAAACCGATTCAAATGTCAGCCCCTTTTACACGCAATGCAGACTATGTTATAAAAATATTAACTGCAAAAGCAGTGACAACATTTTCTACATGCGAGTGCAACTTTGACGTGTGCATGAACAAACCAAACACTGGGAGGTGTTGCTTCGTTATCGACTGTAACTTTAGAGTGTTTCTGCTTTTGAAGTTGACTCTTCATCTCGAAAACGAGCGAACAATAGATTCTACTCTGTCATAAATAAGGTTTCTACAATTTTTTTCTCATTAATAGAAATAAATTCAACTGCACACGTAATTATCTTACCAAAAGGATTATTTGTTAATCCAGATGTGCTAAAAACAACAATTATTACTACGTTGACAAAGTTTGTTGTTCTACTCCAGCAAGATGGCGTCGGTTGCAATGCATGATGGGAGTCACTTGTTTTTCATCGTAAAATATATCTAAACAAACTTTTCAACTGAAATGCAATAGTTTTAATATTTTGTCAGTTATACGATATATTTCAAGTTACATTTTGATAAAAGATGTTATTTGTATTTTCAAACGAATTCACTTCCTTAGCAACCAGAGTGGCAACGTTTATCATTATCCAAGATGGCAGCAGCAGGGAAGGGCGCAGCGAAAGAACCTCAGAACGTTGTTCACCAAAATGCAATATTATGTGAAACTATCAGAAAAGAGCAAAGACATTCGAAGATTTACACGAACTACAGTGTAAATCCATTCAAAAAGAGTAAGTGAACGATTCGCAACAACTAAAAGGATCACAATTTATTTGACATTATTGATGACTTGTTGTACGATAAACAAGATCCTTTCCTAGATGTGTAAGATAAGTAGGTCAGGGCCCGTCGTAATGCTTGCCATCGCGAATTTATCACTGATCCGTCATTGCATTAAGATGATGCAACCGTATATATTATAGATATATATCAACACTGTATATTATGTCGAGCTTTACCAACTGATGTGATGAGTGAGTGAGCTTGATTTTACGCCGCTTTTAGCAATATTCCAGCAATATCACGGCGGGGGGCACCAGAAATGGGCTTCACACATTGTAAGATGTGATGAGATGGTCATGTTATCACTAACTTGAGTATCACAGATAATGTAGGGACAAAGTTGGCGTTACGTAACTTCACGTCTCAGCATAAATATTCAACTTTAATTCAGTGCAATACTGTTACCATGCATACTGTTTTGTTCACGATTGGTTTTGAAATAAAGTTAGTCAAGTTTTGTTACACTAAGTTAACTATTAACAGTATATAGCATGACTCTATATTATTGCGGGCTCTATAGAATTGTTGAATCTTGTAATATACCTATGTAAAACTAAGCACAATATTTCATCACTTGATCGAGTACAGGACTTCTTGCGGTATGTCACGGCTACTCACAAGAATACACGTTAACGTTTAATGATAGTTTCTGGAATGTTTTTGAAATGGAATTACCCCTACCTTCATTCAAAATTGGTTAGAAAAGAACCGATTTGTTTGGATGAACCCAACCTAGGTTGTATGCATACTGATTATGCATAATCAAGGAAGTGATGGAAACCACATAATCCACACATATCACACCACAAAATAGTCATCAATACCGCCACAATAACCTCTATATATTGTCATTATATGAAAGCTTACATGAAATAATGTAGGAACTAATTATATATATTTTATCTTAATTTGTTGTTTTCTGTCTTTCTTCAGTTCATGTAATAACAGGCAAACCTAACTCCATACATGACTCAGAAGAGGGAGAAGAAGACAGTAAGTATAGTTTCTGCTGAGATTGCGGGAGAACATCCAGTGAAGGAAAAAACAAGAATCTCTAAATCTACAATATCTCCCTGTATTTTAATGCTTCAAAAGTAGCCTTCTTAAATGCAGAGATTTTATTGATAGATGATGAGAGGATGAGAGGGTTGATGTACCATAACTCTGAATACAAATTCATTTTGAGAAATCCAGGGCAGAATTGGGACCAATTTCCCCAGGGTGCAATCATTTGATTTTCAGGAGGTGAAATGGGGATCGGGTGTCGAAAAAAAATTAATCAGAACTAGTTTCAGGACCTGTATTTGCATTTGTGTGGTTGGTACATTTTAGTGAAAATACTTCAAGCAAAGTTGTTTGGGATATAATAGAATTTGGTGTATCAGCATACTCTGACTTTTAAAGAGAATGACGATAAGTATTATAAGGTTTGTCCATGAAACAAACAGAGAGGTCCAATGTCTTCATGATTGGGTAGCTCTCTACCTACCCTGTAGTATGTTTATCTACAGCTGAGGTATTTTCCTCAGTGTTTGTTGTTTAATGCCACAGTCCGCAATATTCCAGTTTTATGACGGCGGTCTGTAAATAATCAAGTCTGGACCAGATAATCTAGTGATCATCGCAATTGGGATACGATGACATGCATCGACCAAGTCAGCGAGTCTGACCATCCGATCCCGTTAGTCGCCTCTTATGACACGCAAAGTTGCCTCTTATAGCAAGCATTGGTTACTGAAGACCTATTCTACCCCGGATCTTCACGGTTCTCAAATCAAATGTCTTTTGGTTCATATTGTAACTTTTATCTATCTGTTTGGATCATTATGACTGACATACAACTGTATCTTCAAATAGTAGCCTTTGACACATTGATCATCTGAATGAATGATTTTTTTCAGGTCATTTCTTGTCAGTCATCAACAGAGCCACATTGGAACCGGTGAAGAAATACCCCTGTCCTCAGACAGAGTCGCAGGAATATGGATGGATATCTAAGGAATTGGTATGCTAATTTTTTTTAGCCATTTTCAGCCGTTAAAGATGTTTTATTACCTTCATCTGGTCACAACTGCATTTTAAAGTCGAAACAAATCTTGAAGAAAATAGGCACTAAAGAAACATTTGATGAGTTAATGGTGATGTTAAATGGATGGTAAAGACACAGACATACAAAAACAGCTTTCTATCAGACACACATACTTCTTGTCCAACACTTCAAACTGCAGTTGAAAATAGGACTGTTTACTCAAGACAGCAAGAAGTCTTCAAAGTTTTAACAGGTTAGCCTGTTGTTTTGCAAAGAACTACCCCAAGTTCTTGTATTTCCTCATTTATTGTTGGGGGCACAGGGACCCCCTCATCTAGAACACTGCAATTCACTGTGCAGAGTTACATCCATTGGACACACCAAAAGCCTGTGTCTATGGGTTTGAATCTTAGTTCTTCCTGATAATTTTACCAGCGTTGTCAGCACCATACCTATTCTCATAGGTTTCAGCAAGGGGTAAATGTCTGATACCTGCATCCCTTCAGGCTTTTCTCATAAAATTAAGCTGACACGCTGTGATATAACTGGAATACTGGGGTGTCAAACTCAACTCACTCACTCATTCAACGACATTGTCATTACATATGCCAATGTATTTCAATTTCAGCTTGAAAGAGATCGCACAGACAGGAGACTGTTCTTCCACAAGTCCAACTCTGCCATCACCAAGTACTATGACAAAGCATGGGGCGAGAAGGAACAGAGGGAGAACATGAACTAGCCACACAACACATGCAATTGTAGTTGACAATATAGCTATTTTCTTTTGTAAATATACACACATTATGTTCTGAACATTTATTAGGTCATTACCATGTTACAAATTGATGAAATCAGATTTTTTTTAGAAACTGGTAATTACAGTCTAGTGAAATAGAAGCATGCAAGCTACTTGCTCATTAGGTTGCAGTTGTGAAATGAAATGCGTAATGTTCTTGAAGTACAAGTTGTAAATAATGACAACGCATTGATAATTTATAGAAGGCAATTTCTTTGGTACCTCATTGTAGTTAAGTCCAGTGTTTTTGATCATGAACTGGTCCAAATGCCAGAATATTCCTCATAGTTGATATTTTCTGAACCAGTATGTTATTTCAGGTACATAGCCAGTATGTGTTGTCTCCTTCTACCACGGGGTCAGCACATGTCTACAGGGTTATAGCTGTTATGTCCACTCTGTGTCTTCTCTGTGAGAGATCTTAATGTTTAGTGTACTCTTCGACCTAGCTCTATTTGAATCTTATACTTCGAATTCAGACAATCATTTTGGAAGTATGAAATACTAAATGTGACCCATTTTTCAGTTTTCCTGTAAATCTTTTACATTTTAATAGCTCTCAAGAGCTACAACTTTTCCTTGTTTTTTTTGTTGTTGAATGATTATGTCCTTTAGATAGTTTGTTATTATATGAAATGATTATTTCCTCTGAACAATGCCTAATGTACATATGTGTCAGGCAGCATTCGCCAGCTGTAACAGGTTTGTGTGTATACTCATACTGTGTGAAAAGTGTCGATTGTATGTCTTGCATGAATGCAGATTTTAGTTCACATGTAAAGGACTTTTGTCAAACTAAAGAAATCCATTTTATCAGGTTTGATACTTTTTGTTGTCTTTTGCTTGAAAATTACAACGTGCAGTGGAAGTTGCATCAGCAGTATTCTTGTGAAATGTTGGTGAAGACTAAAGTCGACAGGGCCCCTGTAACGAAATCGGGGAAATATCGTGGTGGTGTTTCCCAGCATTGCTTACATGCTTGATAAGGCCAGAGTGAGTGAATGTTGTTTTATGACAGTCGGCAATATGCCATCAATATCACAGTGACCTGTAAATAACTATCTGGAGCAGCCAAACCAGTGGTTGATAACATGAACAAATATGGCTCACAATCAGCCAGGTCACACCAGGCCAGCCAGTCCTCATCTTCCTTGATTCATATGACAAGCACGAGATGCTGGTGACTCTGATCCTGGACTTGTGAAGGGTAGAGAATAATGTCTTCAGCAACCCATGCTTGCCGTAAGAGTTGACTATACTTGTTGTAAGAATCAACTAACGTCATTGGTTTGTTTGTTGTTTAACGTCATACTCAGCATTACTCCAGCTCTATGACAGCACTCTGTAAATAATGAGCTGGACCAGACAATCCAGTGATTGATATCATGAGCATCAACCTACGGAATTGAGATAGGATGACAAGTATCAACCTAGTCAGCCAACCTGACCATCTGATCCCATTAGTCACGTCTTACGACTAGAATTGGTTGCAGAAGTTCAATTCTAACCTGGATCTTTACAGGATAATTTTGATTTGTGACTGTTCTAAGTGTTTTGTTGACCTGATCCCTTTCTGAATGGGAACAGGTACCTGAGGCCCCTACTGCAGCCTCAGCTACTCACTGTGCAGTTTTGTGTTAGATCGCTATTGTTCGTAGGGTCAAATAATAAATCCCCTTGCTAAATGCATCACAAACCTGTGCTCCTGGGTTTCACCAAACATACGAGTATAGCGGGTGCAGGCTAAAACGGCACCTCAGCAAAACGTCACCGATTTCTCTGGCGAAAACGGCACCGCATTTGGCGAAAACGGCTACTATGTGACAGGCGAGAACGGCACCTCTATTTACCAGGAGGATATTCTCTTGGCCTCACAAAAAATGTCCTGGACAGTAGGGGGCTAATTTCTACTGTAAACTTGTTTAAACATTTCACTATTATTAGTGTTTGTAAGAGACGATGTGAGTTTAGTTTCATTTATTTTACTTCAAGGCATGTTATGTTTTCACAATAAGTTGAGTTGCGTATAGGCTAAGTTGGATTAAAGTTGGAGTAGAGGCTAAATTCTAATGTAAGCTAGTTGTAACATTTCACAATCATTGGTGTTTGCAAGCGACCATGTTACTTTAATATCATTTATTTTATCAAGGTTAAAAAAACATAAGGTGCCGTTTTCGCCAGGCAATAGTAGCCGTTTTCGCCTGAGGCGAGGTGCCGTTTTCGCCAATCGGTGCCGTTTTCGCCAGGTGACGTTTTGCTGAGGTGCCGTTTTAGCTATAACCCAGTATAGCAACCAGTTTTTACATTTTTCTTTCAACATTAAATATGATGCTGGCCTGTAAATAATCGAGTCAGGACCAGGCAAAACCAGTGGTTGATATTATGAACAATGATACATTCCATCGTGGTTTACAATTCACCCTATCCATAAGTCGCCACACATGACAAGCATAGGTTGCTGGGGTCTACATCATTATATAAACTGTTCAATTAAGAGTTATCTCACTCAAAATTAGACTTTTTCTGGCTGTCAAGATCAAAGTTATACATATTCTACAAGTTTAGTGAAACAGTCCGAAGCTATTGATTTATACAGATCACTAACATTACATTTGCTGGATTCAGGCATGACAAACTGGAGGTTGATACAGTGAACATGCCAAAAGGGTTCTACTAGTACACCACACAGCCAAGTCATAGCTACATGTAAAGGAAACTATGCTTGTCATAAGAGGCGACTAATGGGATCGGGTGGTCAGGCTTGCTGACTTGGTTGATGCTTGTCATCGTATCCAAATAGCGTGGATCAAGGCTCATGATATCAATCACTAGATTGTCTGGTCCAGACTCGATTATTTACAGACCGCCTTCATTTAAGCTGGAATATTGCTGAGTGAGATGTCAATCAAAACAGCTACATGTCAGGCTATCAAAGTGATCACTCATCCAAGAACCATCTATAACCTGCAGCTATTGGGCCCAACTGTTACTGGTCATGGATGGATGTGATCACTCGATGCAAGTTCATCTCCACAGAGTTTGCTAAGTCTTGAGTCTGACAATACTCAAACGTGCAATAAGAACAAGTTGCTTTCTTCAAATTTTGCCTCTGTTCTCTATCAGTGAATGGGTACCCAGCAGGATGGCAATGTGAATGCAAACTTCAGCAGCTTGGGTTACCAGCACCCCCCCCCCCCCCCCCCCCAATGAAGATAAGAGTGAGTGAGTTGGGTTTAACGCTGCTTTTAACATTATTCCAGTTATATCATGGCAGCTTAATGTGGGAGGAAAGCCCAAAGTGATGCAGGTCTCTGACATTTACCACTTCGGTGAAACCCACAAGCACGGGTAGGGTGCTTACAACCTAGAAACACAATTGGGGCGAACTGGGATTTGAACCCACAATCATAGGTTTCTGGTGTGCCCAAGGGACGCAACTCTGCACAGCGAATCACTGTGCCTTAGACAACTGGGCCACCTGTGCTCCCCATGAAGATAAGAAGGCAACCTGAATGCAAATCTGTCAATCTGTCAAATTCCATTCAAAATACATGGATCAACCCAATGTTGATGTCACAATGCTGAGGCAATGTTTTTCACAAATGATGATTTTTTGGATGAAAAGTGTTTTTCAATTAATCTGATAATGCCCAGTTTCAACAAGAAGAAGAAAACACTCTTATCACTATCCCCTGCCATGGGGCACATAAGAATGTTTGTTTGTTCACATGGGTGGCTTTTTGTCATGAGAAAATCTGATTTTACTTTCCCCATTGCAGACACTGTGCACCAAATATGCACCAAAATGTGTATGCTCAAAATCTAAAGGGATGTAACTCTGGAAAAAATATATGCATTATTGATAAAACTTGTCAGCCCAATAATCCCCCAGCCCACTTCATGGCAGGGATAATAAAAGAATTATGTCACATGACCCCATGGGTATTCTGGGATAGAATTGGTCCCCAGCAACCTACACTAGTCACTTGAATTGATGGATCTGGTGGAGTCAGATGGTGGTCAGGTGGTGACATGGTAGCCTATCAAGACTTTATTTACAGTCTGCAATCATTATGCTGGAATATTGCTGAAAGTGGCATCGATTAACAAACCAGACCAACAACTTAAGAATGACAAACCTAATGACTATGAAGATACATTTATTTACAAAACACAACAAGTATACAGATGCTATCTCTTTCGGTTCTTCATCTTCATCCTCTTGGACTTGCCCGGTCTTCCACTTTTCTTAGGATTCTGAAAACGAAATAACATAATCTCTTGATATTTAATACATTTTCAGCTGTCATTCCTATATCTACCATGAATTTGGAATTTACTTGATTCTGATTGGTCATTCAGAGGCTATTAAATCACAATAACCCCCCTCTGGTTGAAACAGCTGGTTTGACGTCCGCATCACCGCGGAAGCTAATATTCATAGAATAGTACTTTTTTCAGTCACTGTCGGTAGGTATATTTAAATAATTATATCTACAATTACAGATTACAAAATGCACAGATGTGGTTACTACAATATTCAAAGGATGTGTGGCAATACATTTCGGGCAGAAAACACGATAGAAATCTAAAAAAAGGGAATGTATTTACGTTTTGGAGACAACAGAGAGCTTGGAATTTAGGCCCTTTTCTATATATACGACTGTGACGTCATATCTTTTGCATCACAATGAGTGACATGACGTCATAATGGTGACGTGCGATGTAGAACGAAAGCCTTGCAAAGCATGCTTTGTTTTCTTCAGGGATGCCCACCTCATGTTAGCTTACAAAGTTGCCGTGCTTATATGCTTTCAATGCTTGTCATATGTTCGAGTGAAGTATTAGGGTGTAAACAAACTGCTTGAGTATATACAGGTGAGAGATGACCACAGGTGAGAGATGACCATAGGTGAGTGATGGCCACAGGTAAGAGATGACCACAGGTGAGTGATGACCACAGGTTAGAGATGACCCACAGAAAAGAGATGACCCACAGAAAAGAGATGGCCACAGGTAAAAGATGACCACAGGTAAGTGATGACCACAGGTAAGTGATGACCACTGGTAAGGGATGACCACTGGTAAGTGATGACCACAGGTAAGTGATGGCCACAGGTAAGTGATGACCACTGGTAAGAGATGACCACTGGTAAGAGATGGCAACAGGTAAGTGATGACCACAGGTAAGAGATGACCACAGGTAAGCAATGACCACAGGTAAGAGATGACCACAGGTAAGAGATGACCACAGGTAAGTGATGGCCACAGGTAAGTGATGACCACAGGTAAGAGATGACCACAGGTAGGTGATGACCACAGGTAAGTGATGGCCACAGGTAAGTGATGACCACTGGTAAGGGATGACCACAGGTAAGAGATGACAACAGGTAAGTGATGACCACAGGTAAGTGATGACCACAGGTAAGTGATGGCCACAGGTAAGGGATGACCACTGGTAAGGGATGACCACTGGTAAGTGATGACCACAAGTAAGTGATGACCACAGGTAAGAGATGACAGTTCTTCATGTTTGTGACTCACCTTCCCATACTTTCCACTTTGTTTTGCTCCAGCAAACTCGGACACGTCAGCCGCGCTGTCTTTAGTGTTGTACTTTGACCTCTTCTTTTGGCCTCCAAATCCAAACTTGGTGTTCTTGAACTGGCGTTTTTTGTTGGGTCTGTGAAAGAAAATGAAGATAGACAGTGTGAGTAAACATGATGAGAAGTTTTCTTACCAAGTTATCTCCCTTGGAACCTAAATGCCAGCTTGTTGATGTCAGGAAAATGTCTCTGCTAAATATAACAGTGAGTGAGTATGGTTTTTTACGCCGCTTTTAGCAATATTCCAGCAATATCATGGCGGGGGACACCAGAAATGGGCTTCACACATTGTACCCATGTCGGGAATCGAACCCGGGTCTTCGGCGTGACGAACTAACGCTTTAACCACAAGGCTACCCAACCGCCCCTTAATATAACAGAGATGGAGGTGGAGACATCACTTTCAAAATGAAGCTAGGGTAGTGAATGGACAAGGATATTGATCGTAACGGAATAGAGGTTTATACACGTAGTGCACTGTACATACAAATATCAAACAACAACAGGTACGATTGGGATCTGAAGTTCTGATAAAAACAATGACTTTGTATGCCTTTCTTATGATCAGACATCCCCCTCTACATTAACACTTTGATGCGTAATAATAAGATACATACTGATTCCTCTTCTTGTCCAAGTTCTGCACTGTCGGCTGATTCCTCTTCCCTTCAGCCTTCTCCACATCGTCCAGGAAGTCCAGCTTGTTCAACTGACCTGCACAGTACACATGGTCAGATAGTGCTTGTCATTAGGGACAGGTCATTTATTATGGGGAGGGGTTAGGGTTAGGGTTAGGGTTAGGGTTAGGGTTAGGGTTAGGGTTAGGGTTAGGTCATGATGGGGGTGCATGATAAATGACCCAGTTCAGTTTAAACAAAAAAGTAATATGATTTTGTACATTATTTACAAACTGTTTATTTTTAAGGGGGTGGGGGATGGTCATGGAATGGAAATGAAAAAAAATGTTTAAAAAGATGGGGGGGGTTGGGGCAGCAAAATATGATACAGTCCTAAGGCCAATCTCCCTGGCCCCACACCTCACCTGTAATTAATGACCAGTCACTTACTAATTGAAAAAAACTGTAATTATTTAACACTCATAAAAAAAATTGTGCTATTTTCAAGTTGTTTTCCTCTAATTCATGAGCTTCTTGGATGCTTAGTCACTGAGAGGGACTGATTGAGTGAGGGAGGGAGATACATATTTTCATCAATCTTACCTTTCCTGTATTTTTTGACAGATTGTAGCATCTCTCGCTTCTCTTTCTGTCTCTGCAGCAGAACCTCAGTTTGCACCTGGAAGTAGGTTGTGAGTCAGTCAATAGTGCCTTACAGTATGCTATAAACCAGGTGGCCTGTCAAGTAACATTCGTGAGTGAGTGAGGGAGTTGGGTTTAGTGCTGCTGTAAACAGTTTCCCAGTTATTTCATGGCGTGTCAGCTAAATGTGGGAGGAAAGTGATGCAGGTCTCAGACGTTTACCACTCTGGTGAAACACACAAGCACAGGTATGGTGCTGACAAACCTAGAAACATAATCAGAGCGAACCAGGAATCGAACCAACAATCATAGGTTTCTGGCATCCCCAAGGGAAGCACCCCTGCACAGCAAATTGTGGCTCCTTAAACAACTGGGCCACTGGTACCCCTCTAATGATTTAAACAAAATATGATGTCATTCTAAGGGGAACATACATCCACACAAGTTTAGGTCCTTCAGCATGCTCAGTCTGGCAATATCAGAGGCGAAGCAGTTTACAGAGCCACATATATATTTTGAGAAAAATGAAGAGCATGTTCAAAACAAGGTAGAACAAAAAAATACTGCAAAAATTGGAACAATTGTTTTGAATTGCTAAACAAACTGAACAAAAACCACATATACACAAATGGCTGATTAATGGTCAAGTAGAGATTTTTGAATATGGACGTTATGGTGGCCATATTGAAAAACAGCTTTGAAACTCATGGACAAATTCAGGTGGCACCAATGGTGGGAAAAAGCAGGTGAGGTTTTAGATTCATTAGTCCAGTGGTTTCTGAGGAAGTGGTTTCCTTATACTGTGGGGAAATGCATTCAGTAAGAATTTAAGAGCATGATGAAAGTTCAAATGTCAAATCAAGGTCAAAATCTACACTATCATGAAAAACGGACCATATGTTGATCCCCTGCTACTAAGTAGGCCTAAACTAAATTCAATTACATTTCCATATTGACCATTGATAGGCTTCTCACTATGGCGGCTATACTGAAAATCAGTTCCAAGCCTCCTGAACAAATTGGGGTGGCGTCATTGGTGGGAACAAGCATGTGAAGTGTCAGTTTCATTGAATTGTAAGGAGAAGATGTTTAAACTTTCACTGACGCCTAACAAACAGACCATGCCATAAGCTCTGACTTTTAGTCAGGTGAGCTAAAAAAAGAAGTGACTATATTCGTATTGTTTCTTCTACTTACCTTTTTACCATATTTCCTAAGATCCCTCATTTTCTTTGCTTTTTCAGATCTTTCCATGCCAATCTGCTTCTCAAGAAGTTTTTCTCGGACCTGTTGAAAAAGACGGTTTGCATTTTAGGATTCATGAATCATATTAGGCTTGTCCATTAACTAAGAAAACAGACCTTGTACAGATACTCTCATTTCTGTATCGTTTTCACTATCAGTATTTGTTTCCATGACAGTCTACGATACACACCTTCTTCATGTGGTCATCTGACTTGGCCATCTGAGCAAAGTAGTCCTCCGGCCTCTTGGTGGGCACTTCCAGATGATGAAGCTTGGCCATTCCCCTCACAACCGATGCCTGAGCCTGGCAGTAACTGTAATGAATCAAAGTCGATGCAGACATTCACCTGGGTCTTGCTATTTTCTGGTATTTTTATATTTTATTCCAGAGGACTCGAGGAAAGGACATGAGGGGTCCCAGGATGGCTTGGATTTCAAACATTACTGATGTCATATTAGTGCACATACCCAATGCCATTAGCCTAACACTGATGCCAATTTCCATGTTAGAGTGGAGAAAATCAACAACTAACACTCTGAACTTTGTGTGTTTGTTTCTTACCAGAATAGATACATCTGTTATATGTATCATGCAGTCTACAACTTTAATTAGTCTTAATGACTCAGTCAAACTGTTTTATACTTCGCCCAGGTAAAACCTCGGAGAGTGTTCTGTTAACATTCAAATGGGTGACCACTGACTCCAGATCATACACAAGTCTGACAGCCAGCCTCACATGGATTACCATTCAGCAGTCAGTCAACCTTTTTACAATACAGTAGAACACGGATATAACGAACACGGATATAGCGAATAAACGGATACAACGAACTGTTAAAAAATCCCCGATTTATCTCCTATATAATATCATATAAAATTTACGTATATATAACGAACTCTCTATAGCGAACTAACGGACACAGCGAACTGATACCTGATCACCGACAAGCCCATTTATCACTAATTAGCGACGTGTATACCGAACTGAGAAATCTCATTCAGTGTCAAGTGTCAATGACAATTGGCTGTATGCAATCAGCGGCGAATCAAAACAATGGCGGCGAATCAATACAATCAGTGGTGACGGATCAACCTTGTTAAATTTGCATTGTGTTAATCTTACCTGTACATGTAATCTTGTCTGTAAAACTAACAGTTTTTGACAGTTTGGCGGATCTGAACGATGCCGTTTCAAGAATGCAGTCAGCGAAACGAGGCCAAAGTAAAATCACAGACTACACATTTCGTATGTTAATCGAAAAATGATAAATATGTTTAAATTTTGTACATGTATTTGATAACAATCTTCAGAAAATGTTATGAATTTAATGTTATTAAATGAATGTTGTAAATTGATATCAGTTGAATGATCACTGCTAATACAAATCAATGCTGCAGTTACGTGTGTATTGTGTTTTGTCTTATCCAAGATGGCGGACGTTTCCGAGCGAAAACGTGTATAACGAACAACGGATATAACGAACTAATTTCTCTGGTCCCTAGTAGTTCGTTATATCCGTGTTCTACTCTAGTATCAAATTTCTTTACTACATTTGTCCTATGTCAATCTGACCTTCAAAATGACCTTTCCAATGACTTTGATCTTAGACTGAAACAACCATGATATAACTCAGTGGTAACATGTGTATTTATTTTTCCACATTTTGGTATGTATTTTAAATACTGTCGCTAAAATATATATATTTTTTGTAAAAAATATATACTCACCGACATAAGAAACACGAACACCATACATGTTGGTTAATATATGAAGAATTACTCATATTAAAGAGATATTAGATTGGTTTGATGCACAAACGAACATACTGGTATGCAGTGTGAATCGATGCATGTGAACGCATGACATGTGACGTCATATGTCTAATGCAGGATTTGCATGTAAAGTTTGAAATCACGTGCAGCATATTGTGAAAAGAATAAAGACACTGTGGTAACACTTGAATGATTGTTAGTTTTGTTATTAAGTGGAAATATCTCTTCTTAACGTACATACGTCTCTATATGTTTCTATGGCCGCTTTCTTTTGGTGGCAAGCTTATTTCAGAATTGATGCCTTGAAAAAACTGTCTATCAGAAGATATTAAGAAGGAAAAATGAAATATACAAAATAAACAAGTAAATCTTTGATAACTGAAACCTACAACTTCATCTCCCTCCTGAAGTCGTCATTTACGTCATCTTCACCATCAAAGTCTGTCCCTGGTGGGGGTGGAGCTGGTTCATTTGTCAAGTCCAATCTTTCAATCCAGTCCAAGTTCTGCTGGAAAGCTTTCAACTTGACCTCCATGCCTTCCTATAAGTCAACAGAATGATCAATATTTTGGTCATATAAGATTCCAAGCTCAAAAGTGAGAGAAACTGTTTGGTTCGCAGTGATAAGAAAAATGGAGATCATGCAGTCTTGAAAAGATTAACACGGGGAATTCCGGTTGTCAGTCACAGGCTGCATGACTGATGCTGTCTATCTTGCCTCAATGAGTTTGTTTGTAGTTTAACACCATGAGTGACGTTTTACGCCACTTTTAGCAATATTCTGGCAATATCACAAGAAATGGGCTTCACACCATGTGGGGAATCGAATCCGGGCCTTCGGGGTGACGAGCGAATGCTTTAATCACTAGGCTACCCCACCGCCCTGATAAACATTTGAAGATGGAAAATACTTATCATAACTCATGGGAAGTACTGCTGTACCATCCTGTCTATCTATTAGACATTTCAGAATGTTCTATTATTCAGTCTTCAAATTTTGAATATAGAACGTTGTCAAATTATTTTTCAACATGTTCAATACGTGGTCTGGAATGGAAATCGCCAGTTTGAAACAAGTGCTGTACTGAGGACCAATTATCGCCAAACCCGTTACAGTGCGCTCATGATTGCATCTCGTTTTATTTTTGTTCATTTTTATAAGAGAGACATAATTATCCAAAAATGATAAACAAACCTGACACTTGTTAGGAAATAAAACACCATATAAGCACCCTGCTCACCACAACTTTAGAAAGACATGCGGGTGGTGTCATATTTCTTCCAGCATTAACATAAATCCAACAACACGATGATGCACATTTAGTTCTGTCATTGCTAAAATTACTATTTGTCTTTCATTTCCCCCCAAAAGTTGGGAGGTGACCATAGTGATGCTAAGTGTGTTCGGGTGAATTGTTTTTTAGAAGCTGGAAACCCCTGCTAAAGCATGTCTTCCACTCAGGATCGCAAGAAGAAGGAGAAATGCATTGTGGGATAGGATAAGTTTAAAAATTAAAGTAATTCCAGTGCAAAATCTTAAGAGAAATTTGGAATTCTTCACTTTTTAAGGTTATTACTGATACCAGCTTGATATCTAGAAAATTCCAGACAGATATAACTCACTGTGTCATTGAAGAATGTCTTTGGCTCTTCTGCAACCACATTTAAACCTGGTTTTAGCTTGCCACTGGCAAAGGCTGCTTGGAGCTGTAAAAATGTGGAGAAATATGTAACAGGTTGGGTTAATATGCAACATGGTCAAAGGGAGGTAACTCTTCAATGATGTCTTAAAAGAGTCACCTGAATTATGCTGGAATACATTGGCAACTGTGGATCATGAAGGTCACACTAAAAGACGCATCAGGAACATGCAAATATAAGTAACGAGTTTCAATACTCTATTACATGATGCAGACTGCAACCATCACTCGGAAGGGTGTATCTTTCTTGTGAGTGAAATGGGGTTTAATTTCGTGTTGAAGGTTAGTGCACTTACATAGCAACTGTGTGTGTGTGTGTGTGTGTGTGTGTGTGTGTGTGTGTGTGTGTGTGTGTGTGTGTGTGTGTGTGTGTGTGTGTGTGTGTGTGTGTGTGCTTGCACTAGTCCAGACTAATGCTGATGTTTTAGTGTTTGCCCATAGAGTTACCACACCCGAGTTTAACATGAATACCACACTCAGGCACAGTATACTGACTCTGAGCTGATCAGTCTTTGTTTTAGTCCCTTAATGCTGAGCGCCAGGCAAGGTAACAACAAGTACAGCATCTTTCAACGGTTTTTTTGGTGTGATGAAGCCAGGGATCAAACTCCTGACGCTCTTAAACTAGACCACGGAGGTGATCTTTAATTAAATGATCACATCTTCATATTCCAAGAAATCTAATGCAATTAGTATGTTTAGGCTGTGCATTGTAGAAAAAGAATTAACTTAAAAAAATACATCTGGAAAACAGACACACCCAGCCCATTAACAACATATTTCAGAAATCTTTTAAACAACAATGTTAAAGTGGCAGAAAAATGAAATATTGAAATTTTTAAGAGATGTCCTTGTTTTTCATACCAGCTGTAGTAGCATATACATATAATTATGCAAAACAAAACGCAAAGCTTACAGAAACTTTTGCATTAGGCACATCTGTTCTTATTTTGGTATTTATTGACAAACAAGTCCGGTCATGTGATACGCCTATACCCATATTGTGGTCACTGAGGCAGAAATTTCCCTCATTGAAAAAGGTGAGCAGAGATGCCTAAGCTCGCCCGAGTGCGAAATAGCCAGAGGTTGAAGCGCTCGTAAAATCTCGAAATATCTCTCTCTCCTAAGCTCGCGTGTTATTGGCTATATTGTTTGCATTAATGGTTGATGTACTGGCCCTTTAAATTTATTACGGATGTAGGCATCTACACTGAATCATAGCAATAATGTTGACTAACTTTTATATAATGCTGGGCATTTTGCAATGTTTGTTTTCATGTCAATAAATGAAAAGTCATATATAACACACACAGAAACATAAAATACAATGCCTACCTCACCAAAAATGAATAGGTAGTCTTTTGTTTGGACATAGCTCTCGTCGTCGAAGGCTACTGGCCTAGTACCAGCTATCCGTGATCGAAACTGGAGTTTATGCGCAGAGCCTTTGACGACGAGAACAATATTATTATTACGGTATGATGTCCGGTACCGAACAGAAGAAAATCTATTCCGCACCCAAAGTCCAAGTGAGATACAAATTTGAGCTACTTAAATTACCTCTTCATCCGTGTCCATGCTTTCGTAATCTGACGAATCTGAATCTGACATGACTGCTGTTGTATTCGTACAAACTGTGCTATGAAAACACGGTCTAAGAAAACACGAAAACACGTGCAAGTAAAAAACAGGAAGCGGAAATAGAACTGTCTCACATAATGTCCTCACAACATACTTACTTTGTCGCGTCATTGCAACGACTTTTAAAATATGTATTTAATTTTGTTGTATCACTATATCGATTAACAAAGACTACAATATATAATTTGGATTCTATTATTACGAAGGGACAGTTTGCCAGTGCTGTAGTTACTTTTAGGACATTACTTAGAAGTCTCGCTGACAGCGAGAGTTCGACTGAAGTCTCGCCCTTCGCCAGGCAGTTTTGAGGACACAGACAGGGGTTGTATTTTGAGAACAGTATTTCCATGAAAAATGGGGAACATGATGTATGCATACGTTTCGCATCCAGACACAGCCCCTAACATCAGCAAACCTCCATCATTTGATCCCCTTATTGGATTTGAAAACGGGCGGAAAGAAAGAAGTTAGTGTTTGTTTTATTCCATCTGATAGCTTAGTGATATTGTTTTTTAGTTACCTGTTATCGTAAACTAGAACCACTCGTGGACAATTAAAAAAAAAGTTTTGAGGTGTTTACATTTATTTCCACGCGGCATAAACAAATAACCATCGTAATGTCAACACAAAAAAAGCAGAGCCCCAGATCAGTTGCTTATGTGCGAATATACACAATAAATCACCATAACTCAAATTGTCAGCATACAGATGATCCGGGTTAGATTTGTTCTTCAGCAATCCTTGCTTGTCATTAGAGGAGGGGATCGGGTGATCAGACTTGCTGACTTAGTTGATACATGTCATTGTATCCCAATTGCTTAGATCGATGCTCATGAAGTCAATCAGTGAATTGTCTGGTCCAGATTTGATTATTTGAAGACCGCCGTCATATAGCTGGAGTATTGCTGAATGTGGCATTAAACATTAAACCTGCATACAAATATGCATGAAGTTGTTTGAGACCCAATAGTATAATGACACTGCTAATTTACCCAATGTAGCCATATATCTTCTTACATAACTGTTTGTCTTTACAAACCTTTATTTACTGATTGAATGCAGGTATCAAGTATGCATGAACTCTACTGCAGTGAACAACGCAAAAGTGCTACGTCTTGCTAATAGTAACTAAGGCACATAACGCTGATGTGAGCTTAGACCAAATGTGACAAACTTGGGGCATTACATGGTCAGATGTATGTTAGACTTAGAGGTCACCTGAAACAGCATTTTAACTGATATTATGATTTAAAATAAGTCACCTCTTGGTACACATGACAAATTTGTCTGCGACTTTAGCCACTAGTCCAAAGCCCAAGTCGATTAAAATTCTGTTTTGTCTATACTAGTAGTAAGGCTGAAGGGGTCGTTGTCCGCACAGGTACAACAGAAATGTACTGCAGGTACCCTAAACGATGGACGAGTCCGTATTCCCCAACCCGAAACTGAAACCGGTTCATGTTGTAGTTCCGTTGGAGTTGTAGTACGTTTCTGCATTTTGATTTTGCCGAGGGTACATTTCTGTTTACAGAAACGTACCTAGGCTACATTTCTGTAGTAACTGTGTTGACAATGACCCCTTCAGCAGTAGTAGTGAGTTTGATTTTACGCCGCTTTTAGCAATATACCAGAAATGGGCTTCACACATTGTACCCATGTCGGGAATCGAACCCGGGTCTTCGGCGTGAAGAGCGAAAGCTTTAACCACTAGGCTACCCGACCGCCCTCAGGAGTAGTAAGTTCCACCAATAATGGTCTAATAAAATCATCAAAATCTACAGAAAATGATGCCTATATTGTAGGTTTGGGCAGAGACTGCTGATATTTAGGCGATTCATTATGACTATCCAACATACACTAGTGAATAATGACTGGAGTGTGTTTGATCGATATTACTAGCAAGCTGTTTATACTTTGTGTACTTTTGACAAGGAGGCTTGGCCTAGAAGATTCTTTGCTAATGACCCTTGGTGTAAATGTCTCATCATGCTCTTTTGTATACCGTCCCATGATAAAAACACATTTCTATCCTGTTTATTTAAGTAGATTAGTCTTAATATTTCAACACGAAACTGATTTCTTTTTTCAGCTGTCAAGGCAACAAGGGAGGAGTTAGATCAGGCAAGGATACCTCTAGAGAAACGGGACTACTGTGTAGATGACTTCATGGCTTTCATGAAGTGCAGAGATGGCAACTTCCCATTTGTTCTATCAAAGTGTTCTCATGAGAAGCATGTGTATGAGGAGTGTGAATACCAGGAGTAAGTATCTCACATAGTTGCAACTAATTAGTTATGATGCTGATAATAGATGTCAGTGTTGGAAATTAACCTTAAAAAAAGAAGTTTGTAAGCATATGTATATGATCTTAGGAAAGTATCTCAATAGTATTATACATAATGTGCTTTTTGCAGTGTACATTACATATTCCATTTTGAAATAAGTTACTACTGCCTTGTGCTATTTGACTTTTCGGACATTTTGATTTTAATTGCATCAATTTGCAACATAAGCTACTAGTCTGAATATAGAGTCTAGTAAGCTCAGCTTATTGTAGTCCATATAATAACATTAAAATCTTCTGAAAATTATGTCAAGAGACATGTTTGCGCTAGTAGACTCATAAGCCTTTGGCACAGACTGTTGTATGAAAGTGAACTTGACTGATCATTCAATAGTTTTATATTAAATCTTTTTCCTGTGGAAAGTGGTGGACTCATTTGAATAGGTCATCTGTATCCTATGCTTGTTTTCCCAAACTAGTATGAATTAGGTGGTTACACTATGTAACCAGGTTGGTTGTGTGCAAAGGTCCCCCAATAGTGTGAATAGTTGCTCATAATGTCGACTATTGGTGTGCCTGGAATATTATGCAGTGTAAAACAACATTCACTCACATTACATTGCCACTTCTAAGAAACAAGTGGGATTTAAAAAGTTTGAATGGGTCCGAAACTTTTCTTGGACATGTTTCTAATTTCTTCATGAAATTATGATTTGTAGTTGGGATAGGTGATGCCTAAGTGTGTCTAGAAATTTTGGGTTTGTTTGATTGGATATCTATATGATTGATAATTATTCATAATTTATTTCAGTTTTGTCTTGAGGATGAAGGAATATGAGAGAGAAAAGAGATTGTTGGAAAGACAGAAGAGGATACAACAGAAAGATGCAGCAGAGGAACTAGGAGATTGATGCTCAGGGAGGGCATCTATTTTATGAACTGTACATACAGGATATATCCAAGTGTATACATGAGACTGTGTGTAGATTGTCAGATCCAGGCACTCTGTGTTACATGTGGACATGATGCAGAGAAACTGGATAGCATTTTTGATTTCATTCAGTGCTGTTAAATATATTATTTTGAACTTATGACTGCATTTGTGATGATTATAGTGTCATGTTTATCATGGTGCCTCCATTGTTAGATAAATGGGAAAATCATGGACAAATTGGCTGTTAAGTGCTGTTAGTGTACAAACATCATCCATTAAATTTTGGGTTGCACAACTACTTTAATTTAGTTTGTTTTGTTACAAACAGTAAATTTTCCCAGCTAAAATTGTCATCTGTTTTGTCCACAAAGTTGAATTGATATCCTTTGCATCTGACGAAAGGACTAAAGGTTTACATGTGCTTCTTCTCGCAGTCTACTGGCCTTGCTAGTGCAGTTTGTCCTTTCCCTGCTGGAATTCCAGGACACAATAGGCAACCAAAATGGTGATTGAATGATCAAGATGGATGCTGAGTAGGAGTACTACTTTGATGCCTACTACCTGGAGATCAACTCTTGACTACCATTAAATAATCATACACTAATGGCCTGTATCAATGGCTGCAGTAGTGGCATTATTTCTATTCTTGGGACTCATTTCCCTGCTCCATGGGTGTTACTAATAGGTCACAATAACAATAAAATATGAATATGAGGATGGATTTTGGGTACTTGTCACTTTTACTAATCGGGATGTTATAAAAGTAAGGATAGTGAGATAGTTTGACTTTTCAGTGAGAGGAATACGATTGGTCTTTAGTGAACGGTAATTTTGTATTATTGTGATTCTAATTACAGCTTTTGTGACCATATAAGTATGTCTGATAACATTTGGTTGTTCTGACTGTACTTTGAAAATCACTGGACTGTTGAATGCTGTTTCTAACAGTATTTTTCGTGATATCCCTGCATGCTGAATGTGGGAGGAAAGTCCACAGGGATGCAGATGTTTGGGTGACAAACCAAGAATCTTGAGCGAGGGAGTTGGGTTTAATGCGGCTTTTAACAGTATTCCAGTTATATTCTGGCGTGTCAGCTTTATGTGGGAGGAGGGCCTGAAGTGATGCTGGTCTTAGACGGTTACCACTTTGTTGAAACACACAAGTACGGGTATGGTGCTGACAAACCTAGAAACTTTCGGGTTGAACCGGGATTTGAACCCACAATCATAGGCTTCTGGCATGCCCAAGGGACACAACTCTGCACAGCAAATTGTGGTGCCTTAGATGAATGGGACACCCATGACACCCAAGAACCACAAGAGTGCTCTGAGAGCACAACATCCCCCGCATGAAATTTTTTAACGAGTTTATATTTTCTTTGTATTTTTCATGAAGCTCCGTAAAACAGGGGCAGTTACTCTGTCAAAATTTGTCGAAATGACATGGGACTGTGATATGCGTATCATCAACATGTCGACATCTTGTGTGTAGAGTGTCAGGGATATTCTCTGGAAACTGTAGGAAGTTGATTTCACAAGCTTAGTATCCTCTGTGGGACGGACGGACTGCGCCACGACATAATCCCCCTTCGGCCATTCTGGCCTGGCGGGGGATAAAAAGGAATCGAACGCACAATCATTGGATCCTGGATCAAGTCTACACAGCAAACTGCTGTGCCAGAAACAGTTGAGGCATCTGAGTACATGTCACGTCAGGAAACATGTCTCAAGTGCAATATTGTTAGCATTAAAAAACAAACACAGATTCAGTAGAAAAATAAGTTTAATTACAATCGCCATTAAATGTAATTCAAGGCAGAGATCTACAATTAACAAAATCTAATACATGAGCAAAGTAAAAAAGAAGTACATCAAGATAGGTAACAAGTGGTTCCAGCCATAAACATGTATCAATGTCAAAATCTTGCCACAAACACACGGAAGTTAAGCAAGACTTCATGGTCAGGGGAGATAATAAATACTGGGATATAGTTGGTGATGTTATGATTACATGAATGTATACTTATCAAATCTGTATTCCAAAATGTTGTATTAACAACAAGAACTCCTTTAACAGAAACAATAGTAATGAAAATGAATGTAATATTCAGTTCACACAAAGTATTTCATTCACTCTGATTTTATTACTTGTTTACAGACAAAAATTGAACCGTAATGCATGAATCCCCTATGAACAGAAGTAGAGTGAGGGTGAAGGCCCTATGTAAATGTACCCTGGCCAACGTCATGGACTGCTCAACTACAGAAAAACTCTGCATACTGACATATCTCTTCCTCTAATAGAGTGACAGAGTGTTTTTATGGTTATTTGCACCATAAACCAACCTTAACATAGGCTCACTTTGTTTTTCTGGTTGTGAAAATTAACTTGTTTGCACAACTTTAGGACATTTTTTAAGCACAATAAGTCAACCATAATGTCTCAGATGGTGGTTAATATGGTATGATAGCAAAGTACAACAAATATCAATGGATAAAGCTTTAAGATGTTTTGAAAAATGCAGCTTTCAAGATATAACTTGACATGAATTCATAGTTAAAGACTAATACCAATCTGTAAGAGTAACTTTGCATTAATTTCCCTCCCTTGTTGGAGAACCAACAACATTTTAACACAATTTACTTCATTCAGACTATAGAAACACGGATTGCACACATAATGATCGATAACAGCGTTAGAAATTGGATCTCATCCTATAGTCCTTGCCAGATTGCCCAATAGTTAAGGTATCTTAAGGACTAGTAAAACTTTGCCATTTTTAAGGGTTTTGCTAAGTGTTAACATTAAAAGGACTAGTAGACTAAAACAGTTTCTATTTGTGTGATAAGATGACAGTAGTACCCAACTACGGTAATGTCCAATATGGCAAGAGGTCAGTAGTGGCAGATTGCAGTCAAACTCGCCACCTTAAACTATGGCCCACTGTACACTGGGTGAGCCGTGGGGTACAACAACGATTAATGGTTTTGATTAAGGCTGCTTATCCTAGATCTAATGAATCTACATTAGGTGAAGTACTATGGCCATTGTCCCCCAGGCCCTTAGAATGGTAGAGATAGAGGTAGGTTTAATACTGCACCCAGGGGTATTCCATATTTCTGACAGTGACATGTTGATAGGTCTGGACCAAACAAATAAGTGATTGACTTTAGGAGCCCTTAGGAGCCTACAGTATCTTTAGTGATCTTGAACAGAATATCAGTCATGTCACATGTTGTTAGCCTAATGTGTGAGGAAGGACCAAAGTGGTGCTGATCTTAACTGTTTACCACTTTGGTGAAACCCATGAGCATGGGTACGGTGCTGACTAAGCAAGAGTGAGTGAGTGACTTTGGTTTTACGCCGCTTTTGGCAATATTCCAGCAATATCATGGCAGGGGACACAGGAAATGGGCTTCACACATTGTACCCATGTCGGGAATAGAACCCGGGTCTTCGATGTGACGAATGAACACTTTAACCACAAGGCTACCCATCCGCCTCTGACTAAGCAAGAAACATGATCGGGTTGAATTGGATTTGAATCCAAAATTGTTAGCAATATTCCTGCAATATCACGACAGGGCACACCAGAATGGGCTTCATACATTGTACCCATTTGGGGAATCCAACCAGGTATTCCATATTCCTTTACCCTACATTGTTCAGGACATGATCAATTCATTCATGGACGTTCTCTCAAAAGGTCTTGATCTCATATTGGCTAGATTAATGCTTTCAACATGTGATAAAAGGTGATTGTTCAAATGTAAATATTTTCAGACACAGTATAGAATAATTGTAGATGACTGCAGACTGACAATACATCTCACATGTAGCATTTCATCATGTAAATAAATATATAAAGCGTTTACACCGGTATCATGGAAAGAGAGAACACAAAGTACAAAATACCACACACACACTATTCACAATACAATGAATGACGACAGTATCAGTTGTATATGTTTCTGAAAGAAAGACTCAAGATGGAGTGTGCCAAGTCTGTGGCCACCATTTGGGGGTTGGTAAATTATGAAGACACAGAATATTCAAAGACTTTCATTCTTTTGCAAACTGTTTAGAGGAGATATTTGGTTGTTTCAGTACAATTGATTTGAAACATATACTTTGACTATTACAAGGAATTAGAGTCTAGAAGTTTGTTTTCAATGCCGACATAGAAAGTACCAGGTTTGGAACATTATAAAATGAGCTAAAGGAAGCGTAGAGTGGAACCTGTCTAAACCAGACATGAGACCAGAAGTTTATTCCAAATTAGACAGAGGTCCAATTTAGTGAGGTTAATATGTTGGTAACCTCCCCTCTTTGAGGAGGCCTAAACAGGTACTTAGTGTTTCATTACCAATTTCTTCAAGAGGCTCAAACATGTATATAAACATTTACAAAAGGTAACAGTATATTAAGTGAATAATTCTTGTCAACAAGGCCCTTCAAGCTGTACCATTTGTGTGAAAGGATCTAAGAAGTTCTGAACACCACATGGACAAAAAATAATTGGGAATCCCCACAAACATTTCTAACAGTCATGTTATAACATCAGCTGTAAACTACCCGTCTTGCATCTGGAATCACCAATGAAGGTTGGATCTATTCTCATTGTTGGGTTAAACTCATTGGCATAAAATCAGGCTTAAACTTGCATACTGTACCAATGTACTATACACTAGTATACTATGGTATATATAGTATACCAGAGCTCTAGATAAGTGTTTGGTGTTGTGGGTATTTTACCCATTCATTTTAAAATCATTGGGTATCAGTAATTCTATCTGGGTATTCAAATTTCTGTAACCCACTAGTTTTTACACATGTGGGTATTTAAGTTAAATATTTAACAACACTACTCATCTAGTCCCTGCAAACTGGTGTCATGTGGGTTCGAGAGCTTTAAAGGACTCACAAATACCACGATACTTCCACAAGAAAGTGTGATGGCAAATGATCATGATGTAACTGTCATCGTAGTTTGGCAAGGTTGACGGAATGCCCATTTATAATTTAAAAATAAGTTGCTGATTTGCTAATAGAATACGCAGGGTTACTTCACAATATTTTGATGATACGCAAAAGTTTTACTTTTGTAGCGTATCTGTAATGTTCGTTGCGTATTTGATACGCTTGGATTTTATTTTACTGCATATTTCTGCATTTCTGAAGCGTATTTCACGCAGATACGCAGCTTATCTGGAGCTCTGGTATACAGTCATAAAGTACATATACAGCGCTGCACTTCATTCCACACCAGAATGGATGGCACTGTCCATGGCCAGTTGAAGTAAGATTATTCAGACCTTAACAAAATATAAACTACTCAAAAGAAGTTAAAGACAACCTGATTCTGTCATATTACTATAGTTAATCTGTCATACCATGACATACTAAAGTGATATGAATGAATCGGATTAACAGATTAACTATAGTAATATAGTGAGTGAGTATGGTTTTACGCCGCTTTTAGCAATATTCCTGCAATATCACGGCAGGGGACACCAGAAATGGGCTTCACACATTGTACCCATGTCGGGAATCGAACCCGGGTCTTCGGCGTGACGAGCGAACGCTTTAACCACTAGGCTACCCGACCGCCCCTATAGTAATATAGTATTAACAATAGTAATATATAAAAACAGGTGGTCCTCAACATCTTTTCAGTAGTATATTTAAATTGAATAGAAATGCAACCAATATAGCATGCCGATGCTGTTCATGTACAGGTAACCATTTTTCTATGATGGTGAATCTTGAGTTGTTTCGCTTTAATGAAAATCCATATTAGTTTGCCTGTTCAGCTGGGCTTTTTCAGTGCACCACATTTTACATGTAAAGAGACGTTTACTCCCAATAGGTTCTAATTTCACTTATTAATGGTTGGCATCTCAGAGTGTGGTTCAGCACTGAGTAATCAGCCCTCGATCCGCAATGGAGCAACCGTCTCATGTACCGTATTCAACATAATAAACGCCCACGGCGCTCTCAAAATTAGAAATAGGGAGCTCTTATGAGAATATTATTTTGGTGAAAAAAACAGAGTTGAAAGATAAATTTCGTGGTTTATGCTGATAGCCTGAAATGTTTATATACGACAGATATAATTTTCCAGAATTTAATTGCCCATAATTGAGGGTGCATATTACACACGAGTATGTATTATACACGAATAAATAGGTCTTGTGTACATTGATCAATCGGAAGGGGTGCTAATTGGGATTGTTCACTAGCCAATATATTAGCAAATATCGCTGTGGGCGCTTATTACGTCGAATACGGTAATGAAAATTCTCAGCAATAGTCCAATGGAACTGATTTACTGAAGCTGATTTGTGGAGTGCTGTGTCAACCACAATCGGTAAAGAAGACCCAGTGCGCCTGATGCCAATGAACCCATCTATAAATTAACAAAGGGTACCATAGAGTAACAACACAAATTTGAAGTATATTCCAGTGACGAAAGACCAAGCTACTATTACAAATGTGGTCACAGGAAAGGACAACGAAACAGACACGACTGGTTGGCGCATCTTGACATAAACTATACATCATCACTGGACTATTCGGTCTAATAAGTGCCTCGATCATCTTTCCTTTTTTAGTCCATTTCTTTTCACAGAGCCATTTTCAAACTTTTCTGATTTCGGCTTGGGTTTTATGTAAGCCTTCCTGTAGAAATCAGCGAAGAGGATGAGGAAAATGCCAGCATAAGCTCCGATCCAGTATATGAATAGCACGGGGTAGTCACATTCTCTGAACAACAGCTGGGTCGAGTGGATGACGACTAAGATGAACTGTGTCTGAAAGAATTGGCATTATAATAAGATAAATACATTAACACAAACTGGCGTCTTACTAAGTAATATGCTACCCAAAAGAAGTTAAAGAAATTGTCATGACAGATTAAATATAGTAACGTGTAAAGAATAAAGTGGTATATGAGTAGTGTATGTCCACATATTTTTCACCTTTTATTACCTATGAGGGCAAACATATTGGGGTTCCTAAAAATCATGTGCCCTAGGGTCATATCATGTCAAGAGACAACAGTGTATTGTTTCCGTCATACGGACGGCATTATTGAGGTCATTGCAATCTTATTGTGATGTGAGGTCGGAATTCTAGTGTATTGTTTCTGTCATATGGATGGCATTATTGAGGTCATTGCAATCTTATTGTGATGTGAGGTCGGAATGCTAGTGTATTGTTTCCATCATACGGACGGCATTATTGAGGTCATTGCAATCTTATTGTGATGTGAGGTCGGAATGCTAGTGTATTGTTTCCGTCATACGGATGGCATTATTGAGGTCATTGCAATCTTATTGTGATGTGAGGTCGGAATGCTAGTGTATTGTTTCCATCATACGGACGGCATTATTGAGGTCATTGCAATCTTATTGTGATGTGAGGTCGGAATGCTAGTGTATTGTTTCCATCATACGGACGGCATTATTGAGGTCATTGGAATCTTATTGTGATGTGAGGTCGGAATGCTAGTGTATTGTTTCCATCATACGGACGGCATTATTGAGGTCATTGCAATCTTATCGTGATGTGAGGTCGGAATGCTAGTGTATTGTTTCCGTCATACGGACGGCATTATTGAGGTCATTGCAATCTTATTGTGATGTGAGGTCGGAATGCTAGTGTATTGTTTCCGTCATACGGACGGCATTGTTGAGGTCATTGCAATCTTATTGTGATGTGAGGTCGGAATGCTAGTGTATTGTTTCCGTCATACTGACGGCATTGTTGAGGTCATTGGAATCTTATTGTGATGTGAGGTCGGAATGACGTCACCATAGAAACACATAATAGCTGAAGATTGTTGACGTCAATCGACAAATTGTTATGGTTCCGCTGCTGTTGCTGTCCTTATACGTAAACACAAAAATTTGTCTCTGTATGTAGACATCTTCTTCAGTAATGAAAAGAACATTATATTCGTGTTCCTGTCATACTCTGTCTACCACACTCGTCCCTAAATTCCGGCATAAACTGTTAAACAAAAACTTGAAATGTCTTGTGTGACTTTCAGGCTGCCTCTGTTGCTCTTGTCTCTACAAGTTACATACAATGTATTCCACCTCCTGTTTGTCAAGACAAAAGCCTGATAATACATGATGATGAATCCATCAACTTCATAACGTAGCAGTTAGTTCCTGCCATGCTGCACAAAGCTGGGGATCATGAACATTTTGGGGGATATTCTTATGAAACTGAATGTTTAAGTACCTTTCTCCGGATATGTATTCGGTTATCACCTTGAACCATTGTTGTAAGCTGTGCTTGTGAATTAGCCTTGATTGGATATTGAAATGTTGTTAGAAAGCATCCTGCCTTTGATGTAATTGTGTCAATCGCAGTGAGGTCAGTCAATTGTGTGTGAAGTGAGTTGAAGGATGAAAGTTTGGCAAGTGTGGGTGTGTTGATGTATTTTTTTAATTTTGAAATGTTCAAGTTATCGGGGTAATTTTATGCTTAATTTTGAAATTTTGGACTCCTTATGAGTTAAAGACACCCGGGAATTCAACACATTCAGTTTGACAGATCCTAGTATAAAGGATAATAATTATAGATGGAATTAACAGGGACTGGAAGGTGAGTTCAAGACAACCGGGAATTTGACACATCCAAGTTTGACACAATGAGGTTCGACTGTATATCACAGCAGCCTCGGAATCCCCAGTGCTGTTTGATATCTATGAGTGAGTGAGTGAGTGAGTTTGGTTTTACGCCGCTTTTAGCTATATTCCAGCAATATCACGGCGGGGGTCACCAGAAATGGGCTTCACACATGGTACCCATGTTGGGAATCGAACCCGGGTCTTTGGCGCGACGAGCGAACGCTTTAACCACTAGGCTACCCGACCGCCCCTGATATCTATGAGCCAACACATATGAGGGAACCAGTTTCAGAGAGATCTAAGTTTTCTCTCCTTTCTGCACTTTATTAGTATGAAGAAAGAAGTGATGGAGAGACCATACAAAGAAACACTAATCCCAATTGCATGTGACTGGGGAACTTTGCTTCAATAGCTGACTTCAAATACATCATTCCTCACTCTTTAGCTTTTTATCAATTGATTATCAAGTTTATCAAAAAATGCAAGAATGGATAAATGAAAGTGCCACATCGATTAATTAAGTGATGCTACATTGGGGAAGTTTCATATGAACACACTCATTAAATAACTAAAAACAGACATCTTTTGCATAATATATTGTTTACAATATCGTCATTACATTCATATCAATCATCTGGCGACTGTTTGTTGTTAAACACCTCACTCAGCAATATTCCAACTATATGATGTGGTCTGTAAATATATACAAGTCTGGACCAGACCATCTTCCTGAGGCAAGGGAGTTAACTGACTATAAAAGTCCAGTTTCCACCTGTGCTGAACTAGGCTGGAATTCCTGGGCTCGATCGTAGCGCCACCAGTGGCTATTACGAGTCATGTCCCTTCTATGCCTCTCCTAGGGACCAATCAGATTCCACCTCTCATATCATATGCAATTGCTTTGAACAAAATGGCGACACCCAGTCAATACGATCTGATCGATAATCAAGATCTATATTGTGATAAAACGGGTCTTACATCGCGAAGTGCATCAAATCACGTGAGCACTTTGATTAAAAACATGAAAAGATTTGGAAAATATCTGTTGACAAGTTGGCCGGGCACATGTTTTGCAAATCCTGCAATCGACCGAAATCTGCACGACAGTTTACGAACCGGATTTCGATTGCGTTGCGTGATTGTGATTGGACTATGCATAGACTCATTAGTCCAGCCAAAATGTAACTCCATAATACCAGCCTAGTTCGGCAAGGGTGGAAACTGGACTTTTATAGTCAGTTAACTCACTTGCCTTGGGAAGATGGGACCAGACAATCCAGTGATTGATGACAGAAACATTGATCTACTCATGTGGGATACAATGACATGCAACAACCAAGTCACCACATCTGACCACACAATCTCGTTAGTTGCTTGTAACGACAAGCAGGGGCTGCTGTAGACCAATTCTGAGCTAGATCTTCATTGGCGGACACAAGCATGGTTTGCAAAGACAAATTCTAACCCGGATCTTCATGGTGGAGATAAGCATGGGAACCTGGGACTTCACTGGGTGGCTCACCTACAGTGTTCCCGCTGACTTTTGAAACTGCCAATCAGGTGGACTGGCAACTATAACAATTACCAGTCCCCCCTAATTTTTGTCAGTCCCAGCTTTCAACAATTAAAAAAACATATTACCTGGTTTTAATTCTTTCAGTCTGACGTTCAATGCAATGATGTCTTCTCTGAAGTAACTTAGTTAGATCTACAAGTCATTCACACAAAGTTCATTCACACTTTTCTCTCTTTTTTAAAAAGAAGAAGAAAAAAGTCGATACAAATATATATTTAACCTCAAACCAAAGCAAAATGTTATTTCCTTGCATTAGAAATAGATAAGGGGAAACCCTGATGGTTACAGACAAGCTGACTTCATTTGAAAAATAAACTTATACGAATATCGCCGATGTTTGGTTCAACTACAAAGATTTATTAGGTTCTTTATTTGCCGGTCCACAGGGACTGGCAGTCACATGAATTACCGGTGCAAGTCTAATTTTACCAGTAAAAACTGGTAATTACCGGTAAAGGCGAACACTGACTTACTAGCTGCATGGACGTCATGTACTTCTTCCACCACAGGAACTTCTGGAATGCAGGGCCCAGGGCGGCCAGGAAGTAGTATGTGTACATCATAAAATGAATGAAGGAATTTAATAGTGAGTGGAACGTCCCAAATCCTCCTGTAATGTAGAAAAGACAACCGTGAATTACAATAAAGTTATTATAGAATTAGAATGACACATCTCTGTAAGGCCCTTATAAATTAATTATAATATTTTCATCAATTCCCGCTTCACTATCAAACACTGAGCATCACACAATTATATTGTCCCTATAAAGTACCAATTTGTGTGCCAATTTTACTTGATGAAATACACTGCATATATAACATTCAAACATTCCTGCTTCATGTGGATGGGGGCGGTCGAGTAGCCTAGTGGTTAAAGCACTCGCTCGTCACGCCGAAGACCCGGCTTTGATTCCCGACATGGGTACACTGTGTGAAGCCCATTTCCGGTGTCCCCAGCCCTGATATTGCTGGAATATTGCTGAAAGCAGCGTAAAACCATACTCACTCACTCATGTGAATCCCATCCATTGACTGTTAATGTACACAGTAGAGTGAGTGAGTGAGTGAGTGAGTTGGGTTTCACGCCGCTTTTAACAGTATTACAGTTATATCGCGGCATATACACAGTAGAGGTGTAACAAGACCGTTCGATACTATTGGCAGGATACGATTCGTATCCCAATACAGTACTTATATTTCATAAGTCGATATTCTTTTTGCAGGTCCCAACCCATAATCATTTGTTTTAAAAGCTCCGAGATCTAAGATGGTATACTGTAGGGCAGAAACATTTTGACCAGATGGTTCTGTGAATGTTATGCTATTAATAGTTAATCAGGAAAATACCGAGAATCTGGTCTGTTTTTTTCGCCACTAGAACTTGTAATGTAATGTATTGTGTGTACCGCAATACAGAGGTTGTAAATCGATGTATAGCATCATGGGCCTTGTACCGGGATACAATGCTGTATCGTTATACCAACAGTACACAGATGCCTCAAACCTTCCAATATAAGATTCCTGCTGCATCTGATCAATGAAAATTTTTGAAATAATAATCAACTAATTTATTGTGAGCCGATGCTTGTTTAGGATACCCCATGTAAATCACTATATTGTAGCCATGTGTTCACTGCTGGTATTGAAGTTGGCACTGTATCACTAAGTTCACCATCTGAACTCTTACCCAAACCCATTAATGTTATGCTCAAGACTATCTATGTAATGCAAGTTGCCAAAACCAGATGTGAAATAATTTTTACAATCAAACAGGTTTTGACAATTCTACAAGCTACTGAGAGTTGGATGTTAGTCAATTTTGACTTCAGCGTTTGCCTGAGTCACTTGTTGTCTCCCAATAACTAACTAAACCTTAAGTTTCATTCCAGCGAACCAAATCATTTTTAGAAGCTGTCCTACTCATGTGAAATTATTTATGCCAGGTGTTGACTGATTAGAAGTTTAAGTCACTAGATATGCTTGAGATGCAACTACATTACTCCATGTATAGTGAGTGAGTGAGTGAGTGAGTGAGTGAGTGAGTGAGTGAGTGAGTGAGTGAGTGTTGGGTTTATCGCCGTTTTTAACTGGGATTTGAACCCACAATCATAGGTTTCTGGCGTGTCCAAGGGACGCAACTCTGCACATGTAGAAGTACCTGAGACCTAGCACTAGTAACAGTAGCAGAACCAAAGGGTCTTCCCTTGAACCTAGGTCTGTGCTGGACTCTGTGAAACAGGATAAAAAGAATGTAACCAAGGTGTGTCATATTCTACCCACATGTTGGATTGTTGTGTGACTCCCACAGGGCTGAAGATTGGCCACGATGGCGGCAATAAATACATTATCGATGGCAACACTGACCTGGTACAAACTTGACTCCAAACCACCATGAGATGGGCATGATGCCATGGTGGAAGACATGGAGGAAGGATGCCTGATTGTACTTCTTCCTCAGGATGAAGAATATCTGAAAAAAGAGAAATAAGAGGTCAGTATAAAAAAATATTACCTGCGCTTAACTATGGAGCTAAAGAATCCTAATGTTACAAAACTGGAGATATTGGGAATCCCAAGATAAAATACGACAGAAAATCTTAGGGACCCAGACTCTGGTCCTGACTGCTACATAAATACTTACACATTTGATCACTTATCTTGAATTATACATAGCTGTGTTCTTAACATCCTGTGTATGCAATCGTTTTGGTATGGGTCGATAATACTTTAACTGGTACTCGCTCTGTCCATCTTCCTGAGGCAAGTGAGTTAACTGACTATAAAGTCCTGTTTCCACCCTTGCCGAACTAGGCTGGAATTATGGAGTTACATTTTGCCTGAACTAACGAGTCTATGCATAGTCCAATCACAATCGCACAATGAAATCGAAATCTGGTTTGTAAACTGTCGTGCAGATTTCGGTCGATTGCAGGAACAGATATTTTCCAAATCTTTTCATGTTTTTAATCAAGGTGCTGACGTGATTTGATGCACTTCGCGATGTAAGACCCGTTTTATCACAATATAGATCTTGATTATTGATCAGATTGTCTTGGCTTGGTGCCGCCATTTTGTATGAAGCAAATGCAAGTGATATGAGAGGTGGAATCTGATTGGTCCCTAGGAGAGGCATAGAAGGGACATAACTCGCAATAGCCACTGGTGGCGCTACGATCGAGCCCAGGAATTCCAGCCTAGTTCGGCAAGGGTGGAAACTGGACTTTTATAGTCAGTTAACTCACTTGCCTCGGGAACTGTAGTTCACCAAGAACAGTTTATATAAATCCTCCTTTTGCTGAAATCTTCCAAACTACTTACTGTGTCGAGAAGTTCTATAAACTTGGAGATGTAGAACATCCAGCACACTTTAGCCATCTGCAACAAATGTGACAGAGATAAACAGAGAATGACAACAAAACTGATTAACACATACAGCATTGACACCAATCATGCCTTACTGAGAGGACTTTTTTGACACAAGCTTCTGCAATATTCCAGTATAATCACAGTGGCCTGTAAATACAGTAATGTCTCGTTAATCTGGATATTAGGGATATTTCTATCTTTCCTGATACACAAAACTGACTCTCATAGTGTCAAGTGTATGCTTAAACAGAATGACATATCTGATAATCCCTATCAAAAGTGGAGTAGTATAGGTGTGTACATGTTTCAGTAAGAACTGCACAAACACATTTTGAATAATAATCTGTCAGGGATAGAAATTAATCTAGAAAGTCTACTAGCCCCAATAGTGATAACATAGAGCAATATCTCCTAAAATGTTTGAAATTCTACCAGCCCTTAGGATACCTCTAACATAAACAAAGCTGGCCTCAATCTCATTAAAATCAGATCTATGTTCTCGCTGCCGCTAAACAAAGATCTGAGGACATCCCGTCAGAACTACCTTTCGCGAACTTTGACTGATCACTGAAATGACCAACAAGAAGTCGACATCAGCCAATTAGAAAGCAGCTTCCTTGAGCTTTACGGCACTCGTTTCAACCTGGTGACTTCCATTTCACACTACGCTTGAAAAATGTGTTGACACAGTTCTCGATTAAAATTTTGAAAACTGAACAAACGAACATTCCGGAATGTCTAATATATAGTTGAGATTGTATGGCAGTGCTTCCCACGTACTGTGCAACGCTTCCTCCGTTCAAATGTTTATCCCACAGAAGCGAGAGATAGACCATAATTTTGACGGAATCAGTCGTACAGGCTGTAACTGTCGTTCGGAATACCCCGTGTGAACGTTTTCGAGGTTGCATTATTAGAAAACACATTCCGACTGTCACTTTCATGATCTGGTAAGCGACGCTTTGATTGGTTGGATGAAAGGTTGTTCTGACGTGACCCGTAATGGGATGTCCTCAGATCTTTCTTTAGCTATAGCGAGAACTAAGATCAGATTTTAATGAGATTGAGCTGGCCTGGGTTAGCAGGCCAGTGCTAATTTCTATCTGTCTCTATGTATCAGTGTCATGTATGAAGGATGTTCATCAATTCATGATGATGCATCGTCCAATCCTACCCAAATGTAACCATGACGACAACTTACCCTGACTGCTTGTGGGGAGTTGGAGTAGTCGACAGGTTGACATCCGAGGCTGTACCCTGCCATCCAGCCTGATGCCGCGAACTGGAACAGATGAACATCATGAACTAGAGGCAGTATAAGTACAGTGCTGTTTTACAGCGCAGTCAGCATATTCCAGCTTTGTCACAGACCTAGAAACATATTCAGGGTGAACCTACTCTAACGACAAGCATGAATCTGAGGACCAATTATCAGTTTTGTTTGTCTGCATTATTGTTTGTTGGTTAACGTCACACTCAGCAATATTCCAGCTATATGACGACGGTCTGGACCAGACAATCCAGTGATTTAGATCATGAGCATCTATCCATGCAATTGGGATACAATGACATGCATCAACCAAGTCAACGTGCCTGATCACTCGATCCCGTTAGTCGCCTCTTACTACAAGCATAGTTGCGTTTTACAGCACTTATCAGTGAAGTAAGTGTAATAGTAATGTAAATCCCTGACAATACGTTCCTCTGTGATCTGTGAATACAAAAGTCCTATGTGGTGTAGCCGCTAGTTTTAACCAATGACAACAAGCACAGGCCAGGTTCCAAGACACGACTCGGTTGACATCGCACAAACGGTAATGCTTCTTGCAATCCAGAGATTGAAATCATGAACATCGATCCACACAATTGGGATACGATGACATGCATCAACCAGCCATCAGCTAGCCTGACCATCCGCCTCTTACAGAAAGCATATTGAAATAATGGTGGTGATCACACACCAAATCAGTGATCTCATTGGAGGATAGGCAAAAATAGATATCTCTTTTCTTGTTATCCATTTATACAGTCCATAACAACAAGTTCTAACTGCACATGCACCAGTAGTGTCTATTCTGCCTTACAGTCGGAGTCCCCGAACATATTTTCCCTCGGCCCGGTCCATACTGTCATGCCATAATCCTAAATGAAGCAAGTCTAGATTTTCCACATACTCCATTACAACAGAAGGTATTGTGTTAATTGATCACTATATCCTCTGTGTGACAACTGGCAAAATCGGAGTGTGTGACAAATGGGAGCCTTACAACCAGCATTGGTTCCACACCATGGAATTACTCTTAGAAAGCATGAAGTCATAACCTACACCAAGCAGATGCATGTTAATGGTGTTTGAACTTGAATCAAATTTGCCAATTGCCTAAGCCTAGACTAACTTTAGCGCTGCTTTAAAAAGTATTTAAGCTTTTATCCCTATGTGTCAGCCTAATCACACTTTGGTGAAACCCAGGTATCAAAATTAGTAGTTGAACTCTACGATCAATGTATCCTAGTCCTGAGCCCATCCCAGTCCCTGAACATTATTATTTTCCCTTCGGCCCAGCCTTTACTGTAATGCCATAGCCCTGAATAAAGCAAGTCTAGATTTTCCACATCTAAATCTCCCATCTCACTGGGGCTCCTTTTCAAATTAAATGAAGTTGTTTCTTTCTTTCAAAATTATATATTTATTTTCCGAGACTAAGCATTCGTCTACAGTAATGTCATGCATCTAATTTCAAGGTGGACAGGTACCATATCAGTGCAGAGCATCTAACCTTTCAAAGAAATAGAAAGAAAAATGTCCATATATCATGTTATCAGAGTTATATTTTGTCTAACAAATGTCATATTTGGGATAACACTTTCTTAGTAAAGTACAGATTCTTGTACATTTTGGGGTTGATATTTGTTATATTTGACCACTTTCTAAATGGCATTGTGTGTTCATAGCTTTCGGCCATGGGAGCTGTGCCAATTTACGCTTGTCAGACGGGTACACAAGGTACGTAGTTTACCAGTTGTCAGACTTTTATTTTTGTGGAAGCCTCGGTGGCTGAGTGGGTTAGATCACTGACTTTGTGTGCTGGCGATTAGATGCCTCACTCTGGCAATGGGGGTGTGAATCCCAGACGGGACTCAACCAAAAAGTACGAGAATCTGTACTTTACTAAGAAAGTGTTATCCCAAATATAACACTTGTTACATTTGACCACTTTCTAAATGACACTGTGTGTTCATATATTTTGCCTGTTATAAACTAACCTCGATGAAACAATATGCTGAGAGAATGATCATGCAGAAGTTGTAGACCAGCATGACTTTCTTCAACTCGAGTGGCGGCCTGTTGCCCATCAAGGTCGGCCCCATCTTGATGATGACCACGTACAGGACGCAGATGAGGAAGCTGGGCCACGGGGTGGACATCATGAACCAGTCCGCAACACGCGGATCTTAAACAAACAAACAACTTTATTGGGGAACACTTGTTTTGCTTGGTTATTTACACAGAATGTATTGTGGGAGGAAAGCTGAAACTGATGAAGGTTTAGACGTTTGACCACTTTGGTGAAATCCATGAACACGTCTATGGTGCTGACAAACCTAGAAACATAACCTGGGCAAACCAGGATTTGAACCCACGGTTATAAATTTTTTGGCGTGGCCAAGGGACACCTCTGCAGAGTGAATTGGACCACCAGTGCCCCTGTATATCTTCTAAGGCACCGATACTATCATAATATGTATTCAATGGTTAAATGACAAACTAATTACTATAAGCTGATACTTATGTACATTCAGTCAGTCATACATCCTGATCCAAATATATAGTCTTCACATGCATACTATCATTATACAAGATCTTTTCACAAGGCCTTAGCATCATACAATTGGCTAAAGTTGTTGACCGCAGCAAAATTGAAGCTGAAGTTGCTGACTGCAGCAAAATTTGAAGCTGAAGTTGCTGACTGCAGCAAAATTTGAAGCTAAAGTTGCTGGCTGCAGCAATATTTGAAGCTAAAGTTGCGGGCTGTGCAGGAAAATTTGAAGTTCAAGACCTGACTTACCTGCTCTCAACATGAGGTCATCATAGGACTTGACAGCATCAGCAATTAGACTGGCCATGACGAAACTGGCACCACCCTCAGCAATGGTCAACCCTACAACACATGGACATTATGATGGGTACAGACTACACACTGAAGCATCGTACGACCTATAGATAACACTAATCACTGACACAGTACTAGACTCAGGAGTAGTGTCATGTTGGCCTTGAACCTTCTGGTGTCACTTATGTCATTGCATCACTTGACGCAGGAGCTGTCAACCTAGTCATGTTAGACTGTATCCCTATCAGTGGTTAAAGACATTCAGTGTCCGCATGACATGGACACTAAATGGTCTTGGCAAGTGAAAAAGTTTGAACATAAGTGAAGCAAGTTTTGTGGTGAGTTACAAAAGTTATAATCAAGCCACTGGCAACACGTTTTCTCCGTCTTGTCTGAAATTTCGCTGGCTAAGGGGTGTTTAATTTTAGAAGTTGAACCACTGAAGTGAATAGTCTATTCATTCCATATCAAAATTCGAAAATATATCATATGAACTGGTTCTGAATATTTCAACATAAAACATTTAATCTTATACATCAACAAAGACAAGATAAGAATCGTTTTTTCTTTTATATAAGAGCCCTCCCCTCTATCCCCCCCTCCCCCCAACAAAACAAGCAAAACAACGACACAAAAAAAACCAGACTGAATAATAATAATAATTTAAAAAAAATAAAAAATAAAATAAATATATCTGTGTAAAGGTGATAGCTCTATACTCAGAAAATGATTAATTGATTTTTTCCTCAGAGAAAAAACACATTACTGCTGACTTAAAACCAGATATAACTTATCAGCAAATCCACACTGAAGTATGCCACTTGTTCCCCTATTAAATATGGCATTATGAGATTGTGTATCAATACAAAAAGAACAAGGTGAAATGTGACAGCTGACACACTTGGGGCAGCACAGAAGCAAACAAGAACACAGCAATACCCAAAGTTATTGATAACATGTGAGTAAATACTCAGTTGCTCAAAAAAATGTGTATACTCCCAAAAGTTTTATTTTGCTTACAACATAATCGCTTAAGTCACTCCAACCCTCTGATTATAGAGCCATGGGAAACCCCTACATAGCATGCTGAAAAGACGACGGTTGACACTGTTAAACAAAATGAATACTAAAATACCATTTACTGCCAGTATGTACACAAGGTATAAAGCCACAGTTTCATTCATGATCAAGTCCAATCTACTCAAGGGTTTCTTGGTCTTCCCTAGCACGACCCGGAGTCATGTTACCTCAAGTATCAAACAAGTCAGCATATCACAACCTTACGATCCTGATATGTAATGTTGGGCTATAAAGTGTATTATTGCAGTTGCTGTGTTCAATGCCATGGTTCATATCTAAACTAGCAGTGCAATTTGAAATTTTAATATCAACTCAAAAAGTATCATGATAATTAAATATTTTGTGTTTTTATAGATAAATATTATGTGTAGATCTGCAATTAATTAAATTAATGCAAAATATGAACTCGGGTCATCCATTAAATGTTTAAAATTGAATTTTCTGCCTTCTCACTGTCCGCATTAGCCATAGTAATCTAAACTCTGAGGGGTGAATTATTTTTAGTATCGACATAAATAAAGTTGTATCATTATAGCATCAACATTAATAATTTTACACATAAAAATTTGTGATATATGATGTCAGATGACACTGTATTCGCACTGGTAAGAACTTTTCTCAGCATTGTACATGAAATTATTACCTCAACTTTTAGCCTACTAAAACTGAAAACTAACATGACTGTCCGCATATTCTTGTGTATATCATAAACAGGAAACAACGGTGTAGAAGGGAAATATAACTGCCTGGTATCTAGAAATGAACACATGTAGTTTCATTGATGTTTGAACTAAATTTGTTCCTTACAGCATGATCTCTGACAATAAGATACTTGTTGTCAATCGCTCTTTAATGCAACACCTTTGTCAACTTTCAAAGTGCCTGGAGCATTTTTTACAGCGAATACGACATTTATTCCCTCATTTTATCGTGTTTATGGACAAGCCTTTAATTTGTTTTATCCATTTTTAAATAAATGCTATCTTTGATAAAGAATTGTTTTACTAAACATCTTTGTGTTCTTATTTCCTTTACATGCTTCAATGGAAATTTATTTAAAAATTTATTTAAGAATGACACTTTTATTTTGTCCTGCTTTTTGACATATTTACCATGTTTACCAAAGAAATCTGTAAAATAAGAAATTAAATTGGTCTGGGCTTAAATTGGATACTTGCCATTTGAAGATACACAGGGATGAGAATAATTTATAAAAAAAACCACTGAAAGCTGCGGGTCAGGGATTACTAAATGATTTATGTGTATACTGTAATGGCATTTATATAAATAAAATGAAGCTTGACGTTACACTATTCATGAAAACTTCTCATCCCTGAATATAAACAGTAATAAATGAGTGTCAGCTTCAGTAGAGGCCATGGCATGACTACAACCAGCTGCCACAAATGTTGCTGTTGAGCCCAATAAAATATGAATAGGCCTGATACCACAAAATCATTAGAAACGTTGGCATGCTGGCTGAATATTTCAGTGTCTGACCATATAATGTTTTAGATCACTAACATACTAGGATATGCTGAACCGGTAATGCAACATCAAGACTGTCCAGATATAGCCTATGGCTGAGCCAGCTCATCGGCACATCCCAGTCCACATACCTTGTCAAAGGTTACTTGAACAATATTGATTGCTCGAGTCTGGGACAGAGTACACCTAACCGTCGTCTTATCAGCATGCAATATAGGGGTTTCCCATAGCTCTATAATCAGAGGGTTGGAGTGACTTAAGCGATTATGTTGTGAGCAAAATACAATTTTTGGGAGTATACACATTTGTTTAGCAACTGAATATTTACTCACATGTTATCAGTAACTTTGGGTATTGCTGTGTTCTGTGTAACAATATTAAAAGGATTTTGAATAAAATTAATAAAATAAGTTACAAACATAAGTCCAGATATACAAAGAACACTTTTTATAGCCAGACAGTGTAATTACATGACTAATTTGTGTACTTCGGTATGGATTTGTTGACATGGTATTTCCGGTGTTACTCGCTCACGGTAATGTCTTTCCATGGGGGGAAAAAAACATCAAAACTCATTAATTTGTGTATAATGCGCACCCCCTTCTACTCAGCTGTTTTGGGAAAAAAAGTGTGCACTACATCAAGAAAATACGGTACTTCATTGGGACTAGTCTATTGGTTATTTTTAAACCAATGAGACATTTCAGAAATAATTCTGTCTCAGGTAGCACCTAATTTGCTTCTGTTCATGTGCTGCCCCAAGTGTGTCACCTGTCGCATAGGCTCACAGCAGCAGTACACGGCTCAGTTACACTAAGCCAGACATAGCAGTTTTGTGCAGTATTCACTGCAGTAGAGTTTAGGAGAAGGTGATGCCTGCATTCAATCATGTAATAAAGATTTGTATCGATATTTGTGTACTTGTGCTGAAATGCTACAATGGGTTACACAAAAGTTCTCATATCTTGGATATTTAAAAGATTTCACTGTGTATTTGTACGCAAGCAACACCAAATTAATTGGGATATGGTGATTACAGTGTATATTTTACGCAAATACACAGCTCATCTAGAGCTCTGAATATATGACACTTAACGTAATTCCTTTCTTAGGTATCTTACAGAGTCTGGTATTTAACCAGACTGCCATGGGCTACTAAATCACAATCATGAAATAACAGGATTGACCTCAGATGCAAGAGATAACAGGTTTGACCTAAGATGCATGAGATAACAGGATTGACCTAAGATGCAAGAGATAACAGGATTGACCTAAGATGCATGAGATAACAGGATTGACCTAAGATGCATAAGATAACAGGATTGACCTAAGATGCATGAGATAACAGGATTGACCTAAGATGCATAAGATAACAGGATTGACCTAAGATGCAAGAGATAACAGGATTGACCTAAGATGCATGAGGTAACAGGATTGACCTAAGATGCATAAGATAACAGGATTGACCTAAGATGCAAGAGATAACAGGATTGACCTAAGATGCAAGAGATAACAGGATTGACCTAAGATGCAAGAGATAACAGGATTGACCTAAGATGCATAAGATAACAGTATTGACCTAAGATGCATGAGATAACAGGATTGACCTAAGATGCATAAGATAACAGGATTGACCTAAGATGCATAAGATAACAGGGTTGACCTAAGATGCATGAGATAACAGGTTTGACCTAAGATGCATGAGATAATAGGTTTGACCTAAGATGCAAGAGATAACAGGATTGACCTAAGATGCAAGAGGTAACAGGATTGACCTAAGATGCAAGAGGTAACAGGATTGACCTAAGATGCAAGAGGTTACAGGATTGACCTAAGATGCATAAGATAACAGGATTGACCTGAGATGCATGAGATAACAGGTTTGACCTAAGATGCAAGAGATAACAGGATTGACCTAAGATGCATGAGATAACAGGATTGACTTAAGATGCAAGAGATAACAGGATTGACCTAAGATGCATGAGATAACAGGTTTGACCTAAGATGCAAGAGATAACAGGATTGACTTAAGATGCAAGAGGTAACAGGATTGACCTAAGATGCAAGAGATAACAGGATTGACTTAAGATGCAAGAGGTAACAGGTTTGACCTAAGATGCAAGAGATATCAAAGATTCATCCAGAATTCTAAACTCAGTGACCATGGCAGTCAAACAGGGTAAAATGTTTTGCAAGGTTCTTACATTTACATGTTTAGAGGTCATTTGATTGAATGCACGAATCAGAAATGTGAAAACATGTCACATATGCAGGTATTCAACAAAGTAAGCATCTGATACTCCTAACTGGGATTACCTTCAGTTTAATTGTTGGAACTGTTACCAACATTCGTTCCTTTGAGTAAAAGTGTAAAGAATATTTTTCAAGTTTTGTTGCATTTTGGTTTACATTTCCAGCTGCCTCTGAGAATGTGAAGATAAACCTCTGGATATGGTAGGAGTAGTTTTCTAGTGCTGCAATGAATACACTGTGAGGCGAATACGATCAGTCAAGAGTCAAGAGTGTGGCGTTTAACATCAAACAAACAATAATTTGCTTGGGAGAGTAATGACGTAGGATGATGTTACCATGGTTACATGACACTACTGCATACTTTATGGATTCCTTGGATACACCTCTATCAGTGAAGAGTCAAGAGTATGGTGTTAAACAACAAACAAACAATAATTTGCTTGGGAGAGTAATGACGTAGGATGATGTTACCATGGTTACATGACACTACTGCATACTTCATGGATTCCTTGGATACACCTCTATCAGTGAAGAGTCAAGAGTATGGTGTTAAACAACAAACAAACAATAATTTGCTTGGGAGAGTAATGACGTAGGATGATGTTACCATGGTTACATGACACTACTGCATACTTCAAGGATTCCTTGGATACACCTCAATCAGTGAAGAGTCAAGAGTGTGGCGTTAAACAACAAACAAACAATAATTTGCTTGGGAGAGTAATGACGTAGGGTGTTGTTACATTGACACTACTGCATACTTCAAGGATTCCTCAGATACACCTCTATCAGTTAAGAGGGGTTAATGTTACATGAAATCACTTTTTGCTTTTAACACTCATGATAGAGGGTGAATGTCTTTTTACACCATAGTAATACTAAGCAATATCAACTGAATATTAAAAGAAATATACATATAAATTAGGGCTGGGACGAGTCCGAAGTTACTACCCGGGTACCCACCCCCCTATTACCAGACCCTACCCGGGTACCCACTGTAGGTCTCAAGAGATAGGTACAAAATGTCATTTTTTTTACCATAGCACTGGCAAAACATATTCAGATACATGTATTAAACAATCTGGTCATGCATACACCGAAGTTGACCCAAGATACGTATCTTTATTCAAAGATATGAAAAGTCAGAAGCAATGGGTGCATAGTCAGAAAGAAATGCAGACATTAGTGACTTGTAGTGTAACCATAGAGTTCTAGATATTTTTTGTCATTAAACAATATATCACGTGACTAACCACGGGCCCGGGTAGTCCTGTGGGTACCCGGGTCCTACTCAGGACCAACCCCACCCGTGTACCCGAGTTACCCGTCCTAGCCCTAAAATAAATCAAGTCTGGACCAAACAAATCCGTTATCTGGTTATACTATTAGCAATTGTATGAAATTAATTAAATAACACTTCTTTGGCGTGTTTATCAGCTCGGTCAATGTCCGTACCAACAGACGTGTATTTGTTTATTTTGGATATAGGCTATAGATCTACGGTTAGGTGCAAATGTAATTTTGTGAAGTCAAACCATAATTTATACTAACGTGCGTCAGGACATAATCGATTTCTTTATAAGAAACCGTCCTTTACACTGTACGTGGTCTGAAGTAACATTGCTGAGGCCAGGGAATGTTCACTAGGAGACAGTGCAGTGTTATGGCATTCAAGTTAGCCAATGCAACGTGCTTTCCTCGTGGTGTAAAAATAGCTGAAATAGCTCACCATTCATGATTGTTAACTGTTAATTTACCATCATGACAACTTCGGCATGTAGTGAAATAATACCAGAGATGGAACACTCACCAAATCCTGATCAAATTTCACCAAAAGTCCTAACGACGAGAATATATGCACCTTCGTCTGATCCCAGTGGGCAGGGCAGATATTCCCCCTCACAACCGGCTTGATAATGCGCATGCGCGGGCAGATTACTTCACGATCAGACGGGAAAGTGGAGAGCGTTAGTTATTGGCCAAGGTTGACCTCCCCGAGTGGCCTGATTGAACGCCGTGATTGACCGCCCCCTAATGGGTTATTGTAAGTCCTCATGCAGTACCGCTAACCAAGAATACGACAGCCTCGGTCAAGGACAAATACCCGTGACTGTCCAGTGTATTGCCGGATGAGATGTTTACGGTTCAGTAATTTTAACGGTTGAGTTGACACATCTACTCCGGAAATATCGAACATGCTGAATGGTTAGTTTATGAAATAGTATTTACCGTGTACATTAAGCTGTGTGTGATATATCTAACTGACTTCATGGAAGAGTATTGTCATGTTAAATGGCATGGTTTTCAAAGGGATATCAATCATTTTTTATACTTTGTGAAGATTTGCGTTTATCATGCACGTCCAGATTTCTTCTAAACCCATACAGTCGGTCAGGTCTGTTTTTGCTATGTGAACGAGCCAACAATCAAATTGCAAGATTCAAAATATAAAAAAAAACATGTGCTCGAATTAAACTTAGGTTTTATACCATATTGTTTTCTATGGTAGATCCATCAGGTAACTGACATTTTATTTAAACCATTTAAATTAATTAAGGAAAAGAATATATGGATGTCAACTTTTTTATTATTGAGGTGATGGAGGAGTAAAAATATACTCCGAAACATTGTGTTCCTCATAATAAAGAAGTTGACATCCATATATTCTCTTCCTTATGTGTATCACTTCTAAATGCCTTTCAAAGACCTCATTTAAGTAATTTTTTAAAAAAAAAGGATTTTACGCGATTTTATCTTTTTAGCACCTTAGCACCTTAGCGGAAACATGTGATATTGATCTTTCTAGGAAACAATGTTTTTTTCATTTTTTGGAAAATTGTTATTCACTGCTCTCCACCTAAACATCACCACAAACATCTTTCGATTGATGTTTTGTTTACATCGCTATACCCGAAATACCTACCCTGAACCTCATCGGCTGTGTTAGTCTAAATGTTATGTTACTGTCATCGATGTTTGAGATCAGAAATATTACATGTTTGGTGATCGTATTCTATGGGTGATTTAATGGCCGCATCGCTGAATGTAAGTGTAATATTAAGTGAAAGATGCGGTCGTTAAATATCCTTATCTTTGTGGAAATAAAAGACAATTCTGGACATGCATGTTAACGAGATTTATGTGACTCTGATTTTGGCGTTGACGGGGCATTGTTTGAAATAACATGTGGCATAATAAAATAATGTGTATCATACTATGCGTTGTCGGAGTGGTCGGGCTCAGAATGAAGTAAACCACTTGTATTTAACAAAGCACTATATGATAACTGTTGATTAAAAATAACTCTAAACACTCCACTACAAGACCCATTCGTCACCACTCGCCCCTTTCCGTAACCTGCAAGAAGACTCGTCCCCCTATCGATGAATGTTATGTGCGAAAATACGACAAACCAATCAGAATGCGCGTATGATTTCAAGTTCTTCGTCAAAGAATCCTACAGAAATAATTTTTGATTTTACATATATCTTACATCTAAAAATATACCCAAGACACAGTTAAATGTGTGCAATCATACTGTATAATTCCGCATGTCCCGATGTGCTTTAAATTGCATCTGAAATGTATATATAATATATGCATTGGGGAAATTAACCATTAGCAACGAGTTGACAATTGTTTTAGGTATGCCCGTTTGCGCTAAGACGGAACCCGGTCGCAAAAATGGCCATGAGAGGGACACGAGTCGCTATTCGGCTTGTCCCGGAATAACACGAGTTGGTCACGAATGTACAAGACCATGCGACCCACTGGCTAATTTGTATCTCTGAAAAAACCGATTCACCACAACAGCTTCGTTTTGAGTGAGATTCCAAATACACGACTTAAAAAAAGCTCTCCAATCAAATTATATTTATGTGCGAAATGAAATCGATGCGAATTTAATGATGGAGATTGTGACGTCACTTCCTAAACTGAGCCATGGTAACGAATGAGTCAAGGTGAAAAATACTATAATGAATGTTAATACACTGGATAGGCGAGGATGAGCCCGACCTCTCATAGTCAAATTTTACAACATAAACTCCGAATTCGGAAATAAAATGAAAAGTTGTTAACTTTATAGGAGAAACAGGAAACTCTATCTCGGCCGAGTGGCGAATGATTTGGGGATTATTGCTGTATGTGAGTGAGTTTATTTCAGTAAAGAGGCCACCGGCCCATTATACAATATGGATACCGTGGATTACAACAATAGCAGGCGCCAGATAATATAAGGGGTATACATAGTGAAACAATTGAATTATTGCATACCTTTGAAAAAACTGTTGTCGTTTCTTTAAAGCAAGAAAAATATATTTAGCTAATTTATTAATAACATGTTCATTTTGGCAAGACATAAGAGTGCAAAATTTATCAAATGAAGGTTGTGAATGGTAATACTTAGGTATAGGTATATTTCTTAGGTCTGAATAAAATTGACATTCAATGCAGAAATGATACTCAGTTTCAATTACACGGACTACACACAATGGGCATAGGCGTTCATCTCTAGAAAGACCAATTTTTCTACCTTCTTCAAGCATTAGGTTATGGCTAGAACAACGGAAAGAAGGCGGATTATTGGTCGATTACATTTCGCAAGTGGTGGTGAATATTGGACAATACATGCAGTAATTCCCGCTGAGTATTACAGTTTTGCTTCACGCTGACTGGCTGTTCCCTTGTATTCATTGTTTGTGAAGCGGACAATGGGAAAGTGACATCACCACAATGCTAATTCGCAAATAATTGAATTTTACGTCATTCATTGTTCATGACGTCACAGACGAGTTTACGTGACTATAAATCCAACAACAGTTTGAATGAGCTGATTGTCTCTCTTTGTGATCAGAAAACCCACATTTTTTGGTAAACATTTTCTAAGAAAACTTGCAACTAACTTAATTCGCTAGGGGACCCGTGAAGATCCTGGGTAGAATAGGTTTTCAGTAAACCGACCATGCTTGCCGTAAAAGGCGACTATGCTTGTCGTAAGAGGTGACTAACGGGATCACACATTGTACCAATGCGGGAAATTGAACCCGGGCTTTCGGCGTGACGAGCGAACGCTTTAACCAGTGGGCTACCCCACCGTCCATTTTACCTCAGGACGCCATGGGATATATCTATAATAGTGATACCTAAACAATTATGAATTACAGTTACAACTGGAAAAATGCCAATTGTTATCTTTATGTTTTCTATTTTAAATCTTAATGTGAACACTGAGAAGTGTAATGACTTAGGATGTTGTTTCATGACACTATGCATACTTCAAGGATTCCTTAGATACACCCCAATCAGTCAAGAGTGCGGCGTTAAACAACAAACAAACAATTCGCTTGGGAGAGACACCCCGTAATTCCTCTGAGCTTGTTGGTTATTCTGTAAATATTTTGGACATGGGCGTGGTTAATACTTTCAGTCTCATTTGAGAACAATATTTAAGTCTTGACGCCAATTTTTCATTGTTTAATTGTTTGCGAAACCACCTTTAATGTGAGTGAACTGTCTCAGACCCATTAAGATCCGGGTTAGAATTGGTCTTCAGCATCCCATACTTGCTGTAGGAGGCAACTTTGCTTGTCGGGTGGTCAGGCTCGGTGATACGACAGATACGACGCCACGACATGCATCGTATCTGTAGATCCTTGCTCACTGGATTGTGTGGTACAGACTCGATTATTTACAGACCGCCATCATTTAGCTGGAATATTGCGGCGTTAAACAAACAGACAAACAACAAACACTGTCGCAAATAACCGTTCATGCTGTTACTGAAGATTTTACGTGACTCCATTCTAACAAAATTGAGCTGATGGGTTATCTCCCATTTGTCATCCATGCAGGTCCCGTTCCACAAAGCGATCTTAGCGCTACGATTGTCGTAAGTCTGTGTTAAATTGAGTGAGTGAGTGAGTTCGGTTTTACGCCGCTTTTAGCAATATTCCAGCAATATCACGGCGGGGGACACCAGAAATGGGCTTCACACATTGTACCCATGTCGGGAATCGAACCCGGGTCTTCGGCGTGACGAGCTCACGCTTTAACCACTAGGCTACCCGACCGCCCTGTGTTAAAAAATGGGAGTTGCGATCGTCTTAGCGATAAGATTGTTTTGAGGAACGGGGCCCTGCCAGTTTTCACTTGAGTGTGGACATTATTAATAAAATACCAATAATAAAATTAAGAATAGAGCAGTCCCAATGAGCGGGCTCTCTCCCAGGAAGGAATACCTTGACCACATAGATACTAAGACAGAAAGATTGTCTTTGTTTCCTCAATTTTGAAAGTACAGATATAATATGCCAATCATCACTAAATACAATACATTGTTTATGAACAAGTTCAGTGAGGACACGGAAAATGCCGCCATATAGATGGATCTCTTGGATGTATCCAGGTGCCTGGCGTTCCCCTCTTCGTCTCCAAACACTCTTCCATCAACCCGAGACCGCCTCCGTGGTCTAGTTGAAGAGCGTCTGCCCGGAGAGCGGAAAGTCGGGGGTTCGATCGCCGACCGTGTCATACATTAGGATGTTAAATAATTGTACTTCTTGTTACCCCACCTGGCGCTAAGGGGCTAAAACAAGGAGTGGTCGGCTCGGAGTCAGTATACTGTGTCTGAGTGGGGTATTCATGTTAAACTACTGCATGGTATCTCGGTGGGATAGCACTATAAATCGGCATCAGTCCGGGCTAGTACAAGCAGCCACACAAACACACACACGTGCATGCACGTCGCTATATAAGTGCAATAATCTTGGACGCGACGTTAAACCCCATTTCACCTCACCACCTTGTTTGGTGTCGTCTAAGGGAAACCTGCCGCCTTACCGACATCGTCTTTCCGTGTGGTATCTCGTTGGGATAGCACTATAAAATCGGCATCAGTCCGGACTAGTACAAGCAGACACACACACACACACACACACACACACACACACACACACACACACACACACACACACACACACACATGCATGCACGTCAATATATATAATCTTGAACGCGACGTTAAACCCCAATTTACCTCACCTCATCTTCATAATTTGGAAAGATATAACTTCTTTGCCAT